AATATTTTGTGGGGTCCACACTTTTTGGTGCAAAAAAAAAAAAACTACGGCACGCAAAACGAATCTCTATAACATTACACAATCACTTTTCCTATAACATAACTCTTATAAAATCCTATATATATATATATGGGAAAAATATTTATCCGGCAACTTGATATAAGTTTATCTCCAGCCTCTCCAAAACTACGTCGTTTTGTTTATTTATTTCCTTATATTAATTGATTCACTTTTGAATGGTTATGATTCCTTTTTTTTCTCTCTTCCTGTATCACCATTGATCCATCTTTGTATGGTTATGATTTAATAACCGGAGATAACTTTATCTCCGGTAGCTTGAGAAATGATAAGCCATATATATATATATATATATATATATATAGGGTTCATTTAATCTTATGTTACATGAGAGATCTTCTCTCATGTTGTAGAGATACATATGGTGGGGTCCGCCATTTAAAGAAAAAAGAAAAAGAAAACAAAGAAGTGTCACGATTTTCGATGAGTGTGTAGAAGATAAAACTACTCTTATGTTGCATAAGAGTAGTTTTTCCCATATATATATATATATATATAAACGGTCATAGATTATTTCTCAATTAAAAAACAGTACGAATGTATGAATTTCAAACAAATTTAAATAAGTCAAAATAGAACTTTGTAGAACCTTTACTTTTTGCACGGGAAGGTGTGGCTGTGTGGTGGTGATCATCCCCCATTGTTTTCGCTTATTTGTTTCTTCCATGTAAAGCAAAAGAAAACAACTTTGAATCTTGGTATGGTGAAGGCCCCAACTAATGTTGTCATTCATTACGATTGTGATAAAAAACAAATCGCTTATTAGTTCAATTTTATCACTCCTGTTGTCATTCATTCTGCAATTAATGGTTCTCATAAAATTTTAATATCCTTCTCTAATCTTATATATAAAAAAAAGATTATGATAATCACAACACAATGACCTTGAAGTTGGAGATCATCAAAAGACAAATAAATCAACATTCAAACAGTAATGTCTCCAAGCAAATCACGCAGCATTAACAGCCCGTTTGTTTGGAATTGTAGAAAAAATAATTTTTATCTATTTCTTATTTTAGAAATATTTTTTACAAAAAATTAAAGCTACGTATACTTTCATAAAAATATTTAATTTTTGAAAAGAATATTTGGCTCTTGATTTAAAAGCTACAAATTTTAGCTTTAAAAAAAATAATTAGATTTTTGACTTTTTTTTTATGACTTAACGTTTTTTTAAAGTGTTTTTTTTTTTCCTAAAAAAATAGCAACTTCTGAAAAGAAAAAAAAACCCATCCAATACACCAAGCAAAAACTAGGTTTAACTATTGAACCAATTATTATATTTGTGAGTGACGAAACTCAAAACTATGGATACTCTCTTCATTTTCGTTCTTCAATTAAGGCTATGGATTTCCCAAGGAAGTGACCATAACTAAGTACAAATATTACCAAAATAATAATAATTTGAACATGTGCTCCTTATCGAACTCTATGAACGGAGAAAGTGACATTAGGATAATCAACTCATAATGAATTTGACAATATTCACATTGATGAAACAGTAGATATATAAAAATATATACTTAAATAAGTTAAGCCAACTCAAATCTTTTTTTTTTTTGGGTACATAACTCAAATCTTTTTTTACTTACCTTTCTTATTTATTATTTTTTTGCTTTTTAATTATTTGTTTTCAATTGGTTTATTAGAAATTTAACTAATTCAATTTGAATATGGTTGGATTTATATGCGGACGATTTTCACAAAATTATTATTATTTATTCTTAATATTCAAACTTAAACTCATCACTTGAATTAATAATTGTTCATTTCCTTCTAATTATTCTTAACTTTTACCTTGATAAATTCACGCAAAATCGACAGTCATTGATAATTCTACACATAAAAGTTAAAAAGAAGAAAAAATAAATCTACACTTTGTTTTTTCTCTTTTTGGTAACATTTGTTTTAACATCTCAAAAACCTCACAAACTCCGTTACTAGTTATGGAAGTGATGTAAGAGACAAGAAAAAACAGGTAGGACTGTTCTTTTTTATACCATCTCAATAATTTTCTGCGCAAATTCACGTAGTTTGGCTTTTTAAAACGGATTCTGATTTTATTTTGTCTCTTTTCATTTCTTATGGATAAAAGTTTACAGAGAAAATATATATAATTTTAAAGTCAAAATGGGTCCTATTTAGGGGTGTATTGGATTAGGATTTTAAAAGACTTTTTGGAGCTAAAAATCTTATAGATTTTAAAAGACTATTTATAATTCGAGAGACTTTAAAGACTTTTTTAACAATCAAGATTTTATAAGATTGGATTATAAAGGAATTTTTTTTTTATAAATGAAAAAAAAATTACAAACATTCAAAATTTGATTCATATGATTTTAAAGGATTTTAATAGAATTTATAAGATTTGAAAAAACAATATGGATTTATAAAATTTTAAAAAATCATATGAATTTTTAATAAATATTCAAAATTACAATAGTAAAAAAAAAAAAAAAAGGTTATACTTACAACCTATTTTTGTTTGCAATATTTTACAATTATATCTTAACCGCTGATTTTCGTCAATCAACGATTATCATTCATTACAAATTAAATATTAATTAATAAGTTTGATTTGCGAAAATAATAACCGTTAATTGGCGGAAATCCACGGTTAAGATATGGTTGTTAAATGTTGTAAACAAAAATAGGTTGTAAGTATAATCTTCTCCATAAAAAAAATGAGGAAGGTTATATACTTACAACCTTTTTTTTACAACATCTTACAACCATATCTTAACACCGTTGATTTTCGTCAATCAACGGTTATCATTTATTGTGAATTAATAATTAATTAATGAGTTTAATTTGCGAAAATCATAACCGTTGATTGACGAAAATCTACGGTATTAAGATATGATTGCAAGAGGTTGTAAAAAAAAAGTTGTAAGTATAACCTTACTCAAAAAAAATAACAAAGAAATGAAATGAAATTAATAAAAAAAAGTAAAACTTAATATAATTTTCTCAATCAGAAATCATAATGTAATTTTTAATAAACATTCAAAATTACTAAACAACAGTTTTTCACATATCTAATGGGTTGAAAATTATCTTATTCATTTGGTATCTCAAAGCTATGCATATATGATTATAAGACCCAAATTTTTTTAATTATAAAAATAGTTCTAAATTTGCATATAGAACCTAAAGTTCATGATAAAATTTCGTTTGGAATTTTTTGCAATTGATCTTGAAAATCTTGGGGTTTTTGTTTTTTGTGATGAGAGTTTTATAACCATATATCATATGCATATTTTCATTGAATATTCTAAGAAAATTTTGAATCTGAAATTTTGGGTTTCATTACATGAAAGTTTAGAAAATTTCTCAATTTTTTTTCAATCAATACATTGAAACCTTAAATTGCTTTAGGGCTTTTGAGAAACAAGCTTTTAGTTATCTATTGACACAAAAATTATTTGAAATCGTTTCCTATAGTGAAAGAATTTCGTTCATGAATATATTGTTACGAAATATAGCGTTCATATTATGAAAGTTTCAATCTTTCTTTAAATTAATATTGTTTCATTGATGTAAAATAAAAATTGGTTTGAGGGTTTTAGTTTCCCTGCTATTTTTTCACTGTTTTATGTTGTTTTTAATACAAAAATCACACGTTTTTGTGCTAAGAAAAACCACGACCATAACTTGAAAAATAATTTTTTAAACTTCCAAAATTTCTCAAAAATGGCTCAAAAATATGTTATTTTTGAGATAGATTATATTAAAATCTCGTTGGTTTGTTTTTTTTGGGTTGTTTTGTGATAAAAATCGCTAAAAAATATGCTTTTTTTTTTTTTTTTAGTTTTGACGAAGCTCCCATGACGGAACCCAATTTCAAGCAGTCAACCTGCCAAAGGAAGAAGAAAACACTGCAATAGAAGAATCTCAGGAAATCCTAGGGGTTATGGTGAGATTGTGAGAGAGACATCCTATTTATTTTTTTTCATTAAAAAGTCTCACGAAATCCACACAATAGAAAATCCATTGAAATCATACGATTTTTGAATACCACGAGATTGTGATTCCATTGTTTAAATTCCTGATTGAATACCAACGGATTCTAAAATAATCCTTTAAAATCTTAATCGAATACCACATGACTTTTTTTCAATCCATTAAAATTCTAATCGAATATCAACGAATTCTTTTGTTAAAAAACAATCCATTAAAATCCTTTGAAATCTCAATCTAATACACCCCCTTAAGCGTGTAAAAAACTCATGTAATAATATTTATGAGTGATGTAATCAGTAAAAAAATTACTTGTAAAAACTGAAGGTATATATTTCATCTTGAACATATTTCATCTTAGTTCAGTTCACTTTTATTGACTATTTTATTGTAATTCTGGTTATTTATAAATAAAAATACCATTTTTCAATTTTAATATATTATTAGGGATGTTTGAAAAAGTCTTGAAGTCAGCATTAAAACTATATTAAAAGAAATTAATAGCATTTAATAAGATGATAAATATGGTTGAACTAAAGATAAGAAAGTAATAACGATTGAATATATTTAGTGACTTTTAATTACATTTTTTTCTTGGTAAATTATTATTTGACACGTGACTCAGTTAACAATCTGATACCTTGTAATATATGAGAAAATGTGTTTTTGTTTGTGAGAGTGTCTCTACTTGTTTGGCAATTTGCCGCAGAGATGGAAAGCTTGAACACTCCCATGTGCAGCACACAACTTCATATGATACCAAGCATATGCAATAAACAGAAACATCAAAGAAAATTCAAAGCATTGATGATTAAGTGGACGACCCAATGCATGGTGGTAAATTGCTACAACTCATTTTAACTCATTGCAATCATTGGGACTTCCTTATAAATATGACAGTTTTGATTAATGTATCTCTCACATCCTCATTGTCTCTCTTAGCCTCTTTGTTTCTTTGTTGTTTTCCTTGGACAACTCTCTCTCTGTCTCTCTTTTTTTCTCTCTCCCTCTAAATCTACTTTTTGGACCTGGAGATACTTTTCTGCATCTGGGTTTCTTTCTGCTTTGGTTGAGTGAAGTGATTTCACTTGCTTCAAATCTCTGGCATTAAAGTCTAGATCTTTTCTTTGACTGGTATTGGGATTTGTGTTTCTGGCTTTTGGACTTTGACTCTTTGTTGTAGTACTTCCATAAATTCATTCCATTGGTGCTCTCATTATTCTCTGATTCTCTGCTTTCTTTTTTATGGTTTTGAAGTAAGCAGCTAAAAGAAATATTCTTGTAGTACACTTTCTGGGATTTTGCAAAACTCTTGATTGGCAGAATCATGGGATATTCCAGATTCTATCTTGTTTTGCTTTTGTCCATTTGTGTGGGAAACTCATTAGCTTCCCCCATAGAAGATCAAGAGAGAGATAGGATTACTCAGCTACCAGGACAACCAAAGAATGTGGGATTTGCTCAGTACTCAGGCTATGTGACTGTGAATGAGGAGAGTGGGAGATCATTGTTTTACTGGTTGACTGAAGCACCAGTGAGTCGAGGACCTGAGTCAAGGCCACTAGTGTTATGGCTTAATGGTGGCCCTGGATGCTCTTCTATTGCTTATGGTGCATCTGAAGAAATGGGCCCTTTTCACATTAGGCCTGATGGGAAGTCACTTTATTTGAATCCTTATGCTTGGAACAATTGTAAGAGAAATTCCCATATAACACCTCGGTTGTTGACTTGTTGTTGTTGTTGTTGTTGTTGTCTTTTTATTTTTCCCAATATATCTTTATGCCTATATTTATGTTGGGTTTTCAGTGGCAAATATACTATTCCTTGAATCTCCTGCTGGTGTTGGTTTTTCATATTCAAATAAAACGACGGAACTGTATACCTTTGGTGACAAGAGAACAGGTAATGTAGTAGTAACATTTGTAAGGGTAGTGTACTTGCTGATGCAGGATTTACTTTGCTTTAGCAATAATACTTTATGAATTATGATTTTGACATGCTTATGTGCATCCGGGATCTGGGTGTTTCGACTTTGCAGCTGAAGATGCATATACTTTTCTTGTTAATTGGTTTGAAAGATTTCCTCAGTATAAGCATAGAGAATTCTACATTGCTGGAGAAAGTTATGCAGGTGTTTCTTTATTTGATATACCACTTTTCTTCCTTAGGACTTTGGTAATAGAATTCTGAATTGATTGATTGATTTGTACGATGAAGAATTATTCAATTTCTTAAAAAATACTTTTCAGGTCACTATGTTCCTCAGTTGGCTCAAATTGTTTACCGGAAAAATAAGGGAATCGAGAATCCAGTCATTAATTTTAAGGGAGTTATGGTGAGATTGTAAGATTCATAAAAAAATGATTACTTCTACCTTGTTGTAATCATCTAATGTGTGTGATTTCTCTCTGAATGCTGTCAGGTTGGAAATGCTGTTACTGATGATTATCATGATTATGTTGGCACATTTGAGTACTGGTGGACACATGGTTTGGTTTCAGATTCCACATATAGGATGCTGAGAATTGCCTGTGATTTTGGGTCCTCCCAGCATCCATCAGTGCAATGCATGCAGGCTCTCAAAGTTGCAGTTGTGGAGCAGGGAAACATTGATCCATATAGCATTTATACACAGCCTTGTAAAAGTACAGCATCACTCAGACGCGGCTTGAGGGGTCGCTATGTAAGCTTTTATTGTCAACTTATTCAATTCACTTACAAACACCATGTCTAGTTGCAAATCATTTTATTCTATCGTAGTTGTCAAACCAGAATAGTGCACTTCTAATGAAAAATGCTATCATGAAATTACCTTATATTGCTTCTTAACAAGCTTCTATTAATATTATCGGTAAAGAACCAATTCAACCCAAAAGTTTAAAAGCTAGTAGGTGATGCTACATTAATGATTTTATATATCTCTAACATTGCCCTTCACATGAGAGTCCACTAGACTTGAATGGTGGATAATGCACAGACCCACCTACCTGTGTTAAGAAATTCCATAAGAGAAAGTGGGGGTGACGAGGATCGAACCCGTGACACCGAGATTTTGATATCATATAAAGAACCAATTCAACCCAAAAACTTAAGCTGATGGGTGAGACTACATAAATGATTTTATATATCTCTAACATTATCTCCTCAATTTTTTTTGAGTGGTTATAAAGTTTCTGAAATCTGTTCTAGTAGAATATCTGAAACTGAAAATGAAAGGGAGAGGATGCTATGGAATATTGGGATCACAATTTACAACCTCTAGGAATTTACAGAGGTGTGGATGGGATTTGCAGTATGCTTCTCCTAAGAGAACCCGCAAAAAATTTAGATGAAAATAGAACATATTGGTCTTAAACTGCAGCATATTTGTTCTCTATTGTAAATGCAATCAATTAGATATCATTCTTGTTTAATTTCTTTTTATTGCTAACCTACCTGAAACAAAATAGTCGTTAGAACTTTTCATTGCATATTTCAGTGTTTAGATATAGTACCTGTAGTTGCTTAGATTTTGGTCACTCATGGTAGACTGTTTAGTTGATTATTTCTTCTTAATGCTTCCAAACTCAGCCATGGAAGTCTCGAGCATATGATCCCTGTACTGAAAGGTATTCTGATTTGTATTTCAATCGTCCAGAAGTTCAGAAAGCACTTCATGCCAACGTAACCGGAATTTCTTATCCATGGAAGACATGCAGGTATATTATTTACATGTAATATTTGAGATGATTTTTAAGGCCTATTCTATTAGAATTTTTGATTCAAAAGGTTTTTCTGAACAGTGACATTGTAGGGAACTATTGGACTGATTCTCCTCTTTCTATGCTTCCCATATATCGAGAACTTATTAATGCTAGCCTCCAGATATGGCTATACAGGTACCTACCTTTTGTTTTCATCTTCCATTACTATTATTATGTGACCTGAAGCGTTTCAGTTATTTTGGTTATTCTAATGCTGCTAATGGATTTTGCGTTGTCTAAAAAATCAATAGGAAATCATTGTATTGTATAGCTTATAGAGAAAAATCCACTTAAAGTTTACCAAGAGATAATATAGGTGTTCTGTTCTAGAAATTTCTTGCTTCTGCATATCAAATGGCATTCCACAAAATTCTGAAGGAATTATAAAGGAATACAAGACAACAACCAAACCTTATGTTAGGAATTCAAATGCCAGTAAAAGATGTCCCACATTAAGAAAGAATGGAAAATGTAAGGGCCATAGAAGTAGCAATCGTGAACCTAATGTTTCATTATTGAGGTTCCTGGCTTAACCCATGGATGGAGATCACTTTGATTAAAAAGTACTAAAATTGCTTTATTTTGTTTTAAAAAAAAATCTGGTTATCATAAAAAATTTTAATCATGTTTTGTAATTAAAATGGTACTTTTTATGTTTAAAAAGAATAAACAAACAGGTCGTCATCCTTTTGTAAAACTGATTAGGTATGTCATGTTTGTTGGGGGTGAAAATTTCGAAGAATCTGCTGTGGAAAGTCAAATAGTAATGATATTGTAGTTTTGACAAGCGGTAGGTGCTTCAAGATTTGGTGGATGATTCCTGTGGACATGCTAAAGTTAACATGGTGATTAGGAAGTGGGAAAATAGATAACAGGGATTAATTGCACAATTGACAACAATAATAGATCATATTCCGAATTCCATATATGGAGTTGAAGGTCATCTTTAAATAGATATTTTCTTTCTCAAATTCTTTTTATTTTTTATTTTTTATTGCATCTATTCTTAATTCTTGAATAATATATCTTTATTTTAAGCATTGTGCCAAAGTAAAGTGAAAATATCTTTATTCCTTAATCATTATAGTGTCACCTACCATGTATTCCATTCAACATTCTCATTTTTTTTCTATTTCTCACAATGCTATTGTGGGGTTGCCACACCTCTTTTAAGTGAAATTGCACTTCAGTGTGTAATATTCAGCTTAGTTGTTTTTTCTTTTTCCCACATTTTGTTGTTTAGAACTGAAACTATTCATTTTTATATTATTGGCTGCAGTGGAGACACGGATGCTGTGGTTCCAGTGACTGCCACTAGATATTCTATTGATGCGTTGAAGCTACCTACCATCATCAACTGGTACCCTTGGTATGATAATGGCAAGGTTTGTGCTAACTTCTATGAGTAACAACTAATCAATAGTCACTTATTATGTTGTTTCTGTCATCCTATTATGTGTTACCTGATAATTTGCTCTTCTGTGAAGGTTGGTGGGTGGAGTCAAGTTTATAAAGGGCTCACATTTGTTACAGTAAGAGGAGCTGGACATGAGGTTCCACTTCATAGGCCTCGCCAAGCATTTATTCTTTTTAGGTCATTCTTGGAGAACAAGTCCATGCCATCTACAAGTTAGACCATATGTTCTTTTTCACTTGATGAAAATAATCACACAAGTATAGAACCATAAGTACTGTTATTCTTACACCCTAAACTAATAATAATAAGAATAATCACCATTCATATACATGGAACAGGCTGAGACAGAATAAGGAATGCATTCCTCATGAGTTCCATCTTGGCTCTGCCTGGAAAAATTGATTACTTTACCAATTGTAGTTCTTGTATTATTATTTGTTATTGAAGCTGTGATTATTTGTATGAAATGTTATTCTTTACATGGTTTCCATTGTGCAAGACTAATACCATATCTTGCATAGAAACTGTTCTCATCAATGAAGAGTTTCAACTTTGCATTTATTTTTTTTGGTATCCTTTGCAACTTTGCATTTAGTTCCTGAATGTTAATGCGCACGTTATTTTTGTTGTTGTTATGTTCCTGGTTTTTTGTTTTCTATTTATTTATTCTTTAGATTTGTATATCATAACTAGTATTTGTATCGCAATAAATGCGTAAAACATGTTTGCAAGCCCACTTGTGAGAATGTATAATACAAAGTGAAATGAATTGATTAAATTAACATATGAACACAGAAGAAATAATGTCTATGTACATTCACACCAAGAGCGGGACCCACAATAATTTTTTATTTTTATTTTTATGGATTGTACCCACATAAGCTCGCAATTATGGGTTTTACCCATAGATATAAATGTGTCCATCTGTCCACATGCATAATAAGCGCTATGTCCATTAAGATTTTTTTTCATTAGTTCATTAAACCCAACACGAATCTATTCACCTTGCCTCAATGGCCACTTCTGGGTTTATTGTATCCTGCCCCACAGTGTTCAGAGCACACTATTCTCTATTGGGCTCACGAAAGTGAGCCGGGCTGGGTCAAACTTTGCTCCGAAAAGTTTAAGTCTATATCAAAAAAATTTAATTTGGCCTGGTCCAAGCCTAGTAAGAGTCTAACTGTTAGCCTGACTTGACTCGTTTATAAAAAAAACAAATGGCCTAGCCTGTTAGCCTGTTAATTTTTAACTTTCAAGCAGAACCATGAATCAACTTCACAAAATATTCAAATTCTATTGCTAAACCAAAAGTTACAATTTCAACGTCCAAATAAAATCATGAATCACAACAAAACTCATCACAATCTGCATTTGAGTCACTTTCAAAAGCAAAATGCTCAAATTAAATAACATATATTTCATCAGATCCAACAAACAAATCCATATTATGTAAATTAAAATAACTACATGAATCCAATAAATACATCATTATGCTTGTAGTAAGTATAACTTTCCCAAAAACTTTTTAATATATTCATATATACAATCTGACATGTTGAGATGTTGATTTCTCTTACATAAGAAATAAAGTTAGATTTTTATTAAAATATAATCGAATATAATTAAGTTATAAACAATTCAATTGATTGAATTTATATATTTTGTTTTTTCTTCAAGGAATACTAATTTTATTTTATTTTATTTAAAATAAAAAGTACAATATAGGCCGGCCTGTAGGCTTATAGGCCAGGCCTTGTTAAAGTGAGCCTACGACCTATTTATTAAACAAGTTTTTTCAAGGTCCAAGCCTGACTTATTTTACGAAATATACTAGGTCAGGTCAGGCCTGACGTAGGCCGAGCCATAAGCCCTTGTAGGCCGGCCCAACCTAGTTTCACATCTAGGCTCACCCCATAAAACCTACTAATTAAGTTACACTGTTGTTCAGAGCACACTACTGATTGACACGTCAAGGTATATTCAGTATATATGGTTAAGGTAATTAAAATTGAGATTTTACATAAAATTAAAAGAGGGATAAAAAATTGCAAAACGTAAAATCATAACATAAAAAAATCATAATAATAAATTGAAATTTTAACTACTATGATCATGGCCTCCAAGTAACAAGGATCTCTTATATAGGGAAATTTTTTCAGTACTGCTTGTACCTACACTTCTGGATTTTTTCAGTAACAAGGATCACACTACTCCCGCTTATTAAATAGAGAATTTTATTTTCATTTTAACCCATACTTTTTTTGTATAATTTCTTTTAAGTTCCAAATTTTTTCCCCTTTTAATGCATCAAATATTTTCTAGTTATATACATGTCTTGACAAGATCTCTAGATTCTCTACTAGTTAATGACCACGGAAAAACTTCAACATTAATCAACAATAGTAGAAAACAAATGGGGCGTTGCATTCTGAATTGGAGAAAAGAAAAGATAGATAGTGACATGCTTTAATGAAGAGTGCTCTTGGGTTCTTTCATGCATACGATCATTTTCTTTAAATGAACAGATATTGGACCAAGGGCTTATGTAATTGTGCATGGAGGGAGGAGTTGATAATTAAAATTTAATTTGCAAAATGACAACTCTCTTAACAGATATTCATTACGGTGTATTTGGTACAAGAGAAATTTTTTGGTATCCGAGAATCGCAATTAATGGAAATACAATAAAAATTGAGTTTACTTGGAATCTTACGAAAAAGATGTTTGGTTTGCCAAAATATTACTGGAAATATTGGATAAAGATTACTGATTCCATGTTTGGTTTAGAACGAAATATGACTTGGAATATGAGTTTATTTTACAAAAATAACTCTAAACTATTTTTATCTTTTGTAATTGATAGATTGGGTCTAGATTTTTATGTGTGTTGGGATATTTTTGTCTCAAAAATTATTGTTGTGCTTTCCCTTTACTTGATATTCTGAATTACCATATTATTTTTGGTAATCTGAATAGTGACTTTTCTTTATAAATCAAATTATCGGTAATCTTTGAATATCCGGGGACTGGTTTTTGTTCCTTCTACCAAACATGGTAATTGCGTTTACCAAAGAAGGTTTACCAGTAATTCTTTTGAAATACATGTACCAAACACACCCTTAGAGTTGGCAAATAAAATTGTAATTCACAAATGGCTATTTTTTATATTTAAAATTCCACGATAGAACACAATATATGAACAAAACAAGGTGCTTTGCTAAAGTATATTTGTCATGTACGAATAAAAAAAAAGCATGGTGGAACTTCTTTTTAGGAAAAAGAATTAGGATGCCAAGTGGAGCCGAAAAGAGAAGATAAGAAAGAAAGAATTAAGATTATTACATGAGACAGGATAAGAAAGAAAGAGCATCCATATACTATATTACTATTCTATAATACCCATCCAAGAATAACACAAATGTGGTTCATGATCTTGCTTCGCTTAGAAGTCCAAATGGGGTCCATAACCCACAACCAATTGTCCAATAGCATCATCCCCGTAGTTACCAAAAAGACCATCACTTGCTCTAAATTCTTTACGTGCCTTGTCTATATACACATGGCATAGATACCTCCGCAAATTGTTTTATAGCATGAGTTATAGGGATAAACATGTCTATTGTGTTACTAGAATACTTGAAAATAAAAAGCCGGGAAAGGAGGCAAGAAGGGTAAATTCGTCTCTCTGAAAAGAAAAGCATTCCTTAGTAACCAAGAAGTACAATTTTCATAGTCATTTTCCATTACTCAAACTAAAGTTTCTGAATATATTGATGCAGGGAAAAAGAGAAAAAGATTTGGAAGTGCAATAAACAAAGCAAAACGAGTGCCTCTCTCTCTCTCTCTCCCTTTTTAAATAGACATAAAGCCTAAGACACCACATGAATTATTACTAGAGGCAAAAAAACCATAAATAGATAAAAAAAAAAAAAGCAGAGATAGAGAAAAGAAAGAGTGAGAGATATGTATAGGTTCAGCAACACAGTGATCGGGTTCTTGAACTTGTTCACTCTTTTAGCATCAATTCCCATAATTGGAGCAGGTTTATGGATGGCAAGGAGCAGCACAAGCTGTGAAAATTTTCTCCAAACTCCACTTCTGATTATAGGCTTTGTTGTGCTTTTGATATCACTAGCAGGCTTCATTGGTGCTTGCTTTCATGTGGCATGTGCACTTTGGTTGTACTTAGTGGTCATGTTGTTCCTCATAGCAGCACTGCTGAGTTTGACTATATTTGGTTTTGGTGTAACTAGCAAGGGTGGTGGTGTAGAAGTGCCTGGTAGAGTTTATAAGGAGTATCATCTTCAGGATTACTCACCATGGTTGAGGAAGAGAATAAAGGATCCTCGCTATTGGAACACTATCAAAAGCTGTATTTTGGGGTCTAACACTTGTGCCAAGCTTATCTCTTGGACCCCTCTTGACTATATGCAGAGGGATATGTCTCCAATACAGGTAAAATTATTTATTTAGCTTTTTTTCTATGCTCATGATTCAAATACTTGTTTGTGTTTTATTTGTTAGAGCGGGTTTGGATACTTTTTCTACTTTTAAGTTAAAGTTAAAAAAAAAAAACTTTTTGTTGGTGATTATATAAAATTTTTAGTTTAAAAGTTACTTAAACCATATATTGTATACTTGTGTTGTGGGTTATGCATGCAGTCAGGATGTTGTAAGCCACCAACTGCTTGCACTTACAACAACATGGAAACAATGATCACACAAGACCCTGATTGCTACAGGTGGAACAATGCCCCAACTTTGCTATGCTATGAGTGTGATTCTTGCAAAGCCGGTGTACTTGAAGACATAAGACGTAATTGGCACAAGCTCTCTGTTCTCACTGTCACCATGCTTGTGCTTCTCATTGGGATTTATTCCATCGGGTGCTGTGCTTTCAGAAACACAAGAAGAGCTGAAACGGATTATCCATATGGTGAAAACCGGATGACCAAAGTCCGACCCAGATGGGATTATCATTGGTAAGTAGTCCAAAATGAGTTCAATTAAAGTTATGCACAAAAATTGAGCCATTTTATTAATTCACTTACGTAACGGCGGACCACTTCAAGAATCAATGACTATCCCCACATATTAACACGACACTTTTCAGTGTGCTTTTTCCTCACTCGCACACTTCCTGGGAAAAGTTTTCCCAGGAGGCCACCCATCCCAGAATTGCTCCAAGTCAAACACGCTTAACTATGGAGTTCTTCCGTTCCGGGCTATCGAAAAGTAGATGCATCTTGTTAGCATAGGTAGTATCAATTAATTCTTATAAGCTATCCCAAACTGTGCAGCCTTATACCTGCACAGCCTTTGGAATCCCTCTCTTTCGGGTGTCGATTCGATTCGATTCATTCATGTAACCCACCGCTGGAAGCCTGTCAGAAGTTGCTCCTTGTCCATGCCCTTCCGCACCGACGATCACTCCCCGCCCTCGTCAGTGCTCGGGATGTTACATGCCCTCCCATTAAAAAAAAATTAAATAAAAGAGAATATCTCTCTTAAAATCCAACTTATTAGGCTGAAAATTTATGGTTAAAAAAGATTTCAAATGCTTTATATTAAGACTAGTTTTATATTGACAATTCTTTTTTTTACAAACTTATAAACTATATTATGTCTGATCGGTAATACTCTACTCAAGAGTGTATTACCGATCAGACATAATATAATATATAAACAAAAAATTTATAAATATAACCTTCTCCTCGTATTGAAGTATCAAACATTGTAATTTTTCTTTTGGTATTACTTTTACTACATGGAATTGTGGAAACTTCACATAAATCTGAATGGTCAAAATAAATCCAGCACAACCTATCAAAAGATGCTCAAATGACTGTTGTCTGATGCTTTTGATAATTTTCCCACAGGTGGAGATGGTTGCATGACAGGAAAGAACAACTTTATTAGCTGAGAAGCAGCTCTACCATCCATCCATGCTTGGGTGTTCCGTTCCATAGATGGGTCAATTCACTATTTTCTTGGTGCATGGGAAGGCCTTTGTTTCTAACAGCTTCCCAATTGGCTGCTTTTTTGTACAAAGCTTGATTTTGCTTTATCTCAAATGTTATAACAGACCAGTACTTTATGTTGCCTTTTCTCATTAGTGGATGTTTTTAAATTTTAATACATAAAGTAGGTTGAATTATATGCAACGGGATTGAACAGGATAGAATACAAATACGCACCCTGATTCTGTTCTTATAGACACTGCCACAAAAAGTAAAAATAATGCTAGATGGCATGAACCAAATCAGTACCAAAAGATTTCTAAGAAAGAAAAAAAAAAGCAATAAAAACTAAAAGATGATTCCAATCCAACAAAGAGGTTATGGAGATTGGTATTAGTACTAGGATGCACCGAGAAAGGACATGAGACACGACACGCTGATACATTAATTCTAAAAAAATGTCATATTTTAGTTTCTTTTGCATTAATTCAATAGAGTAGTTTCTTAGTTTTTTTTTTCTGGCAGTTTGGCCTTTATATATATAAAAAAATGTTATATTTTGACACGTTCAGACATGTTTTGATATTAAATAATATTTTTAATATATATAATATAATTTATATTTAATATATATAACAGTCCATAATAAATCATATAACCAATAAAATATTCAAATTTCATAATATAAATATAAATAAAAATAATTTTTCGTACCTTGTTAAATTTTAATGTTAAATTTCATAACAGAAAAAAATTAATTTATAAATTATTTTTTGTATGTTTAGTTAATAAAAAAAAATGTGTCGGATGCGTGTCGAACCGTTGACCGCGTGTCAAAAAAAGTTGACTGCGTGTCGAAAAAATGTGTCAGAACGTGTCAAAGAGTTGACCGCGTGTCGAAAAAAGTTAACCGCGTGTCGAAACGTATCAGAGCGTATTGATGTCCGACACGTGTCCGACACACATTTTTTACAAAATTTTGCTTGAGGGGTATCAAAGGATATTACTTATCACTTATCAGTAACCCCGAATCACCTTTTATTTTTCCTGTGAATGTCCAAGGTTAGAAGGCCCAAAAGATCAAAGTTTGGCTAAACTTAGGGACCGTAGTTGCTTATTGTTTTATTGGGTCATATTAATTAAGCTTTTAAGGGCTTGGTTTGCCCAAAGAAGAGAGGGAACCAAGTCAAGAGCCTAACAAAACAGATGGCGTATATTGGATTGGGTCTCACTATGAGGCCATGGCTCTAAAAGATGTAGCAACAAGTTCAGACCGATTCAAAAAATTTGTCCTTGGCTAAAGGCTGAGAATTCTAGTGATAGGATTGGTAGCACTTAAAGTCGTTTATTTAATTTTTGTTAAAAAAGGTTTTTCAAGTGGCAATAGAGGAATTTGACGAGTTCAGTGGCATTGCAATTAATTTGCAACTTGGTAAAGGGTCCTAGTAGGAAAAGTGGAGAGGGACAACGACCCAGAAAATTGGTCCTTTGATAGCAATGAAACAGCCGAATTCAGAGAAGCTTGACTCAAGAGCCCAATTTGAAGTTGGGGCCCCCTCCAAGGAGAAGGTCAACAGGGTAAGAGGACTTTATTCATTGATGACCCTGATGTCTACAACTCTTAGTTCGTTTTCTTGTTACGTATATTGGAATTTCAAATGGGCTGTTTTCTTTTACGTGCTTTTTTTTTTTTTTTTTGAAATATTCCATCGGTTCATTGCTTCGCGATTAGTCCGATTCGGGGCGGGTTCAGGATTAAGATTTTAAATTCCTCCCAAAGGTGGTACTGAGGAAATTCGAACACATGCCCTCAGCCCCACCTGCTCAACTCCCATGCGCCAACTGAGCTACCACCGTTTGGTTCTGTTACGTGCTTTTGAGTTCAGTTGTGGTTAGTTTTTTGTAATATCAAGGGTTATACTTTTTAGTTGTTTGATAATTGATTCACAAGATTAAAATAAATTGTGAGATCTATATATAAAATAAGACAAAATGAATTAGAAAATTTCTTTATGTCATATATTATTATGAACCACCTCACATTTCAAATTCATGGTTTGACTATTAGAAATCCATTTAAGGGGTCTCTCCTCTACCTTCCTAAAATGAGAATCATAAACTTCTTAGCGGAGAATCTATCACTTTCGTTACAGTTCACCACCATACATTTAGTTGTGTGTTATCTCACTCAAATTGTGAGGTAATAAGCAAAACAATTATAACTCACATTCTTTCTCATTAACGAATATTTTTCATCTATATGTACCGCTCTTCACCCATAAAGCGGCACCTTGTATCCATTGTATTTATAAACTATTACTTTGCTAAAGTACAAAGCCATTGTGCCCTCTGTCTCAGCCACCTTTGAGATACTTAAACGATGAAAAGAGTTTTGGTTCATAATACTGCCTCTCAAAAACACCTCTATATCAACATATTTTACCCTTCAAAGATATTGACATAACTCTCTTACATGGACAATTCATAAATTATCTTGCATGCAATAAATTTGAATAATGAAAAGACCAAAATTATTTATCTTTTTTCTGATTTTATATTGTGAGTAATATTTACTACCTTCAATAGTAGATTACACGAATTTAGAAATTTGTGATATATGTTTGATACTTATATTATTTTAAAATATAATATTTTTTATGATGTTAATTCCTTACTTTTTAACAAATAAAAAAGAGATTTGCATCTATTATGTCACATGAAACTAAAAAGTTTCCTACACACACAACATTTTGTAGGACTCACATTTTTTAAAGCAAAATAAAAAATAAAAAAATTAAGGCACGCAAAACGAATCTCTATAACATTACTGAATCACTTTTCCTACCACATAACTCTTATAAAACCCAATAAAAAAACCCTTGATAAAACTATTAAAGAAATTAAATAACATATAAATTTTGGGTTTATAATCTATCATTTAACATAACTACAAAAAGTTTCCTACACACACAACATTTTGTGGGGCTGGCAGCAAAAAAAAAAAATTTCGACACGCAAAACGAATCTCTATAATATAACACAATCACTTTTTCTATCACGATAAATCTTATAAAACCCATAAATTTTATTTCGGGAAGTTGTTGTGTCGACGAATTTAGGCACTTTTCCTATCAAGCTTCAACTTGGTCTTGGATTCATTGATTGGACGGAGGCAATGCAACAACCATTTGTATTGAAGAAATTAATGCTTTCAAATCTGGCAGTACTTTGAGATTTGAGTGGATAAACATCGCTACAGGGCTCATAACTCATAACTAGACCTACACGTATGACGTAGCTGCAGTGGGGGCAGAAATATGAGTATGTATGATGTATCCGTTGTGGTGTCCATTCAATAAATAACCCTTACACTCCGTTTGGTAAACGGATTTCTTTCCGATTTTCAGAAAATTGAAATTTTTAAAATTTTAAATTTTCAAATATTATCATAAACTGAATGTAAAAATTATATTTTTGAAAATCGAAATTCTCGGATAAATAAAAATTTCTCCTGTACCAAACGCTCCCAAGGTAGTATTTGGTAAAAGATTTATTTTGAGATTGATGAAAAAGTATAAGTGGATATTGGAAAATACCATGTTTAGTTCAGGTTTTTGAAAAAAATACTAGACAAATAGGATAGATAGAGAAATGAATTTTGTGTTGATTTTTAGATGAAATTCACTGTTACAGAATACCACCTGAGATGTGGTATTTTGAGATAACTGGGGAAGCAAAAAAACAGTTGCGAAGTTTCTCCCGAAGAAAGATTTTGCAAATTTAAATAAATTTCCCTGGTAATATTTCGATCAACCAAACAACATTTTTTACATTTTCCAACCAAACTCATTTTCCAACCATTTCTTTAATAATTACATTTTCTTAGAATTCAAAAAATTTATTCTGTCAAGCAACCCCCTAATTGTTATTTTGAGTCACTATATACAACTTGGAAAAGGATTTGGGATCTTTTGTGTTGATTTACGTAACTTATTAAGACAAATTCTTTAGACATGGTTACCGTTACCGATACATAGAGACTCATACATCATACAGATGACATTTTTTTTTTCTTCCAGTTTTATGCCGAAGTAACCTTATCCTGTCTAATTAAGTAGTGGGGCCATGCAGTTAATTTAACTGACACAAACTTTCGGGTGGGGAATTAAATTAATGTGAAAAATGTTTCTATTTGTCTAATGAATTCATTTTCAATCAAGATCTAATGTAAAACGATTTTCGTAAGCTGAACTGTCTACCTTCGAAAACAACTTTATTAGTTGTACTCATTATTGTTATCGAATTGGCCAGGCAGTTTTGACTTGTGACGTTTTTTGTTAAATACGAAACGTAAACTTTGCATGCTGAAATTTGTTGACAGCATGACTCCAACAAAATGAAATTGTGTAGCAGTTTTTTCATAGTAATTTAAAACCGATGTATGGGTGATGTGGATGTTTTATCCTGATTCACGGAACAAGGGTAAGGTGTTGCTTCTGGGTTTTTTTTGTGTGTGGCTGTTGAAGATTATTGAAGAGGTTTTTTCTTGCGTGCTTCAATAGACAAAAGGTGGCGGTGGACACTGTCACGATCTCTCAAGTAAATAAATGATTTTAATGTGGAGAATACAAATGAGAGAAAGAAAAAGTACGTACCGAAGTCCAACATTTGTAAACCTTTTCTTCTTCATACAAGTAAGCAATATGGGAAATACAAGTCTTATGTTGCATGAGATTTGTTATCTCATGCCATAGACACAAAGCATGTGGGACCCACTTTTTAAAAAAAAAGTAAAAAATAAATAAATGTAAGCACACCTTTTAATGTATGAGTAGGAGAGGTATGTTATCTCATGTAACATGAGAAAAACATACCCCAAGCAATATAGAACCCAAATAGCAAATATATAAATGAAATATTTTTTTCAATAATTTTAATATATTTAATTTAGAAACTGATTTCTAGTCAATAAATAACTTGAATAATAATAATATTTCTTCTCCTCCAGATAACTTTATTTTATGCGCTCATATGAAAATAGGTGGAATCTATTTTTTTTTTTCTCTCTTACTTTCTTACGAGTGCAGGAGATTAAATTATCTTGAAGGTGTAAGAGAAAAAATTTCCATGTAGACAAAAAAAAAATCCAAAAAAATCAACATGCAAAAAGTTAGTGCCTAAAGTTGCACCTTCTTCTGGATGCAACTTAATTTTGAGATGAAATTCAAGCCAATTGGTTCTGTGGAACCTTAATCTCAAGTGATGGGAAAAAAACAAAAACAAAAAAGAATCTCCTTTTTAACTAAAAAAATTGCATGAAAATTTGTACTAATAACATTGCATTGCTCCACTTTTTTTTCTCTTTTTGGAAACAAGCATTGCTCAACTTTAAAATGCAAATCAAGAGACCGTTTGGAAGCTTGAACTTTTCTTGCAAAACTTCCTGTAACTTGATGTTTGTTTTTTATTGTATTTTTTTCCTCACTGTTGCTGTTAGATTGTGCTTCACTTGTGTCAGAAGTCAAAGCTTTTTTTTGTCTCTTTTTTCATTTTCTCAATAAATAAATAGTTGAACAAAGACTCCTTCGCTCTTATAATCATCTTTCTTTGACCGATAATTGCTTTGAATATGTCAAACTCTTCACAGTTCTTCTCTTGCATGCTTCTGTATTTAAACCAGCAGCACAAACAGTTCCACAGCCCCATCAATTTATTTTAACCATTATTCTCTCCAAGAAACTGCAGGTTTTACCATTGTTCTTTGTCTCTAGCTACATAAACACAATCTTCTCTTCTTATACACACTTGCTTCAAGTCTTGCAGAGATCATCAGTGGAGGCTGAAAAATGGAACAAGTTCCTCAGAAAAAGTTGGAGCAAACACCAACTTGGGCTGTTGCTGTTGTGTGCTTTGTGATGCTTACTATTTCAATCATCATTGAACATGGCATTGAAGGTATTGGAAAGGTAAGCTTGGCATGGTTTAAGCTGCACAAAGTTACAACTCAGAATATATTGTAATGATGAAGCATAATTCTTGTGCATATATGAAAAGAATCACCATCTCTCATAGTTGCTTCTAGCTAGATTCTAATTATCACTGCTTGGATCCTGATCTCTCTTGCTTTGTTCTGCTACTTGTAACTGCAGTGGTTAAAAAAGAAACACAAAAAGGCTCTTCATGAAGCGCTCGAAAAGGTCAAAGGAGGTACTTATTTTTCTGTCTGTTTCTTAGCAACCTTTGTTCTTATGATTGTGTACTTAATTTTCTCTCTCTGTGTGTGGAGTCTAAGCTATTGCTTTTTTGTTCTGTTCAGAGCTTATGCTGCTTGGATTCATATCCTTGCTCCTAACAGTGTTTCAAGATCACATTTCTGATATCTGCATATCAAAACAAGTTGCATCCACTTGGCATCCTTGTAATCCGAATGTCAAGAGTAAAGATCCAAAAGGATATTTTGACAAATGCGCAGAAAAAGCAAGCACAACATCTTCACTCTTCTTTTTCTTATTATTTTATTTTGCATAGTGGGGAGAGATTAGATGGTGTAATATTGCCTCATATGGGTGTTTTTTTTATTGGTATTTGCAGGGCAAAGACAAAGTTGCTTTTGTGTCTGAATATGGGATTCACCAGCTCCATATATTCATCTTTGTGCTTGCTATTTTTCATATCCTACAATGCATCATAACACTAACTTTGGGTAGAACTAAGGTATCCCCTCTTCTCTTTCATCTCTCATTTACTTTGCCTGCCCTCAAAGGTACTCCACTCTTCTTTGTCTTTGTCTCAATTCTTCGTTTTTTTACAACTGTATACAGATGGCAAAGTGGAAGGCGTGGGAAGATGAAACAAAGACCGATGAACATCAGTTCTACAATGGTAAGACTCCATAAAGTTAAAAGTTGAAAAAGTTTTGCATTTACCCACTTGAAAACTAAGCTTAATCTATGCATTTACTATGAAAGCTACAAGACAAAACATGTCACGTGATAAATTAAATGACTTTAATGTTTCTTATTTTTTTTCATAAGAAATTTTTCTGTCACATTTACATAAAAATAAGTGAGTTTTATTACAAAAATAAGAGATAGAAAAAATTAATGCAACTCACTCGCTCTTATATGAGTGCATACTAGGAACAAAAAGTAGAAATATTTTTTCAAAATTAAATATTCTTGTGTTAAGACCAAGAGGTGTTTACACATCTTTCATGTGTAAGAAAATTAAATCTCATTCGGATATTTTCCCTCTTATCAAGGTGCCTTTAGTGGGGATGAAAACTTCCACACATAAAATTGTTACTTTTTTTATACCATTCTTCTTGTCAAATCTGCATATAAAATTGTTGATATTTTGCATGTCATATAAAATTGTTAATATTTTGCATGTCATGCATACACTTCTCTGAGTATTAGTATATGGAATAAGCCTTTTTCTCTTTGACCATTTATATGTGCCATCTCTTCTGATAGCGCCTTTTGTAAATTATGCATTGCAGATCCTGAGAGGTTCAGGTTTGCAAGGGATACAACGTTTGGAAGAAGACACTTGAACTCATGGAGTCGATCACTAATTTCCTTATGGATAGTAAGTGCACAAATATTATACATGAATGAAAAATGATACAATCGCTTGGGCTGAGACCATTGCTCCAAGAGGATGGCTCAGAATGATACTAAGCCATTGGCTATAGTTTGTTGTTTATAAGGCTTTTGTGTTTTGATTGTATCAGGTTAGCTTTTTCAGACAATTCTATGGATCAGTTGATAAAGTTGACTATAAGGCATTACGGCATGGATTTATTGTGGTTTGTATTTACAAAATCTGCTCTAGTTTGATAATTTTTGTCAGAAACGACACCCCAAACTAAACTATGTAATTTTAGGCCCATTTGGCACCGGAAAGTGAAGCAAAATTTGATTTCCAAAAGTATATCAGTAGATCACTTGAAGAGGATTTTAAAGTTGTGGTGGGAATAAGGTAAGAATATCATCCAATGCTTTGCTCTCCTTTTAATAAGTTACTACTTACCAGTTACCACTCTAAGCTCAACCTTTTTGGCACTTGCAGTCCAACCATATGGTTCTTTGCGGTGCTAACCCTGCTCACAAATACTAATGGTACGCCACTAAGCCCCATACAAGTTTAAATCCAATTTGAATATGATAATTGGTGTCGTTATGGTGGTTCAAGTTGAATTATATCTAAGTTAAGCAAAATAGACTCAATATTGGTTTGTTCCTGAATTATGTCAATTACTGTCACTCACTATTTTTTGTAGAAAAGAAACATTATAAGCTCTTGTATTCTAGTTTATCTCATTAATAGGAATATTTTTATTCTATGTGGACAGGGTGGTATCCTTATTTTTGGCTTCCATTTATCCCATTAATTGTAAGCACAAACCACTCATTCTGTTTATGTTGCTTTCTTGGAAAAAGGGATCATAAGGTTTAATGTGAATCTTACAGATAATCTTATTGGTGGGTGCTAAGCTACAAATGATCATAACAAAGATGGGACTGAAGATTCAAGAAAGAGGGGACGTGGTCAAGGGTGCACCTTTGGTTGAGCCTGGTGATGACCTGTTCTGGTTCAGTCGCCCTCGCCTTGTTCTCTTTTTGATTCATCTTGTTCTCTTTCAGGTAAATTTTGTTATTTTATTTTCCTATAATTCTTTCTTCTATCAAATTGAAGCATTCCAATTTGTGTGTTCTGAAAATAATTGTTTGGTTCTGTGCTGCAGAATGCATTTCAACTGGCATTTTTTGCTTGGAGCACAGTAAGTGTCCCATCTTGATCATGTTGTTTATTAGTACAATATTGAAGAAAACATGTAGCAATTCTTACACCGTGCTTTCTTGTTTATGCAATGAAATAATTTGATCGCAATAGAATGAAAATCTCTATCAGTATTAGGTATCAAGAAAAAAGTTTCCCGAAACTTAAAATTGTTAGGAGATATGACCCAAGGATAATTTTGATTAGCATCTCTAATATGTGCAATCACCAAAAAATTCATTATCCTTTGTGCTTAAAACTTTTTTGATTAGAAGTGGGGTGGACCAAGGTTGAATTCTTGTCATCAGGTATAAGAGACTTCAATACCATGTACAAACCCTCTTAAGAAACTAGTTAATTTGGAGAAAGACCATAAATAGTTTTGAATAATATCTGTTGACACTTTGTAATTAAGTGATTCAGAAATGATATTGGAAGTGATTACATATCAAGAATAAAGAATGAAGCATTCTTATGTCAAGAGCATTGTAACTAATCTATATAGCATTTAGCTAACAAAAGCAAAGCTGCAAGGTTTTTCTAACTTTGCATTATCATTATTTTGTTTCAGTATGATAATGGGTTCAGCATAAATTCTTGCTTCCACCGAACTACTGCAGATATTGTCATTAGACTTACAATGGGGTAAGTACATTTCATTTACAAAAGACTGCACATAACATCCCAATACATGGAACAACCATTAATATATATGAGATTACATTTTGGAGATAATTCAACACTGTGAGTATAGTTTGTAGGAATTATATATGTATACTAATGAGAAAATGGAAAATTTCCAGGGTTGTCACTCAAGTTCTGTGCAGCTATGTGACTCTGCCTCTTTATGCTCTAGTCACACAGGTCAGATACATGAACATTATATTAATTTAAACCTTTTTTTTTTTTTCACCGATATATTACCATAAGAGCAGGCACTGATTTCATTATGTTTTGGCTGGCATAAAAGATGGGTTCAACCATGAAACCCACCATTTTCAATGACAAGGTAGCAGCAGCACTAAAGAACTGGCACCACACAGCTAGAAAGCATGTGAGACACAACAAGGATACAAATTCAAATTCTAACACACCATTCTCAAGCAGGCCAGCAACACCAACACATGACATGTCACCAGTTCACCTACTTCACAAGCACACTGGTCACAGTGATAGTCCACTAGCTTCTCCAAGGGCATCATCATCATTCAATCATGGAAATGAACTGTGGGATGTTGAAGGGTCATCTTCCCATAGCAACCATGCAAGAGGTCATGAAGAGACCCTGGAGATGCATGCTCTGGAGCCACCTACGACAGAATTTCCTCCTTCTGGACTACATCCTATTCGAGCTCAACATGAAATCAGCATTAGTTTATCAGAATTTTCATTTAGCCATGGGAAGGCACACACTAGTAGAGATTAGAAGACTATTGAATGTTTCCAACCTTTAACCTCAGTACATATTGAACACTATGTTGTAAACGAAAGAGAAGCAACACATTTGAAGAATGACATGAAAGTAAATTAATCATGATTTTTTATTTTAAATGTCACAATTTTGTGTTATTTTTAACGAAACTATATTGTTTCGGTATATTTTTTTTATATTTTTTTATGAAATTAGGAAGAAAAAAAAAGTGGAGAAGAGAGAATACAAAAATGATGTAATGTCATTGAAATAATACAAGGTTGTGTCATTTAAAATAAATTTTTTTTTTTAATTTATAATAATGATTACTTTACTATTTTTAATCACAACATTTTTTTTTTTGAAATGTGAAGAATTGAACTCATGCCACCTAATCACATCCCCTAATAAAGATATAAAAAAAATTAGTTGAGTATGCACTGATATAAGAATAAAAAAAATTTATATTCATTTTCACTTGTATTTAATAGTACATATAATTAAAAAATTTAAAACCCTTAAACATAAATAAGATCAATGAGGAAAATTAAAAACTATAAAATGAGTATAACTCAAAATTAACAAGAAGGTGTAAATAAGATATAATTTTTTCTTTTTAGATCATTTTCATTTTCCTTTCTAATTTACATGTTTTATTGTTTTCAATCTTCCATAGTGAAAATTGACAACATAGTAAAGTTACAACCAACCACCTCCACCAGTGGCCACTCCGAAACCCAACTTCCATCCGTTATTGTTCCCTGATATTATTTTCCAGGAAAAATTTAAAAAAAGAAAAAAGAAAGAAAGAAAGGAAATTTCTCTTTCTTTCTCTCTTTTCTCGTTCACCGTCGATTGATATCTCAACCGTTGATTTTTTATCCTCAGATTGGGCCTCCGTCTTGATCTTGATCGCTATCATGGAGGTCCGGTCCAACCCCACCGCCGACAATTCCTCCGGGACGCCGCCGGCGAATGGTAACCTTCGTACACCCGGCGTTCCGTCGAAGCAGCCGCTTGCTTCTCCTCACCCCGTTGACACCACCTCTGTGTCTCAGAGGTTAATCTCTCTCAATTGACGAGTTCTTTGTTCCTTGGTTATTGGGTTTTCTGTTTGATTCCGTGAAATCTTTCAAAATTCGAACTTTCTCTAACCCATGTAGAAAAGTAAAAGATTAAAGAAAATAAAAAAAAAAATTCGATTTTCGATACTGTAATCGAATTTTTATTTCCAATTTTTTTTTGCATGACCAGTTTTTTTATTACTTCATGGTAAACGAATTTGAATTTAGAAAATTGATCAGAATTTTCACGATCCATGTATGAAATTGATGCCCAAGTGTGTTCATTTTTACTCATTTTCTTTTTTGTTTTTGATATGGTTGAATTACAGTTTCTATATTGGACATTTTCATTTGTATTGTTTTTTATGGTTTTATTTTTATGTGATTGCAGACTCCAGAAGGAATTAATGGCTCTCATGGTATGTCTCTTTTTGCTTGAATTATTATTTTCATGGACCATATCTCTTTAATTCCATCAATTCTGATTTTGTGAGTTGAATTCTTGATTTTGTGAGTTTAATTCCATTTTCTTTTTCTTTTTCTTTTGGGGAGAGGGTTGGTAGTTTTTGTTTTGTTTTTAAAAAAACTTCATTTGCAATTGCATTGGCTTCCTGATTGCCTAGAGTGAACTTATGTTGCATGTGTAAATTTCTTGTATTCAGAATGCTAAACTTTATGCTGTATTGGACAGTTTTATATTAAGCCGGGAAATTATGTAAAATATGCTGTTGGGTATCCTCAGTTTCTTAAAATATGCTTCCCTGTTGATACTCCTACTGCAAAATCACAAAATTTTGACTGCAATACTATTTACAATGCCATATTTGACTTCTTCATGTACCCTTTTAAATCAACATCTATATTAGAGTGGGAAATTGTATAAAATATTCTGTTAGGATATCCTTTGATCTTTAAGAAAAAGATGTTACAGTTCCTTTATTTTTATTCACGTTATAATTTGTTATCTTGTTCTCACAAACAATTACAACCACTTTAATCATTGACAATGACTTTTACTGCAGATGAGTGGAGGCGATCTTGGAGTTTCGGCTTTTCCTGATGGTGAGAGTATTTTTACATGGATTGGCACAATTGAAGGTGGAAAAGGAACTTTGTATGAGGGTTTATCTTATAAACTCTCCTTACGTTTTCCCCTGGACTATCCTTTTAAGCCACCCCAAGTGAAGTTTGAAACGATGTGCTTTCATCCAAATGTTGACCAGTTTGGCAACATTTGTCTGGACATCCTTCAGGTATTCATGAACTTAGAGAACAACAGAGCATTTCTTAGAGCCAAATTTGCCATTATCTGTGTTTTGACTGGTTTGGATCTATCATTTTGTTTTACTATGGATGCCTAATATATGTAATGAAATATCAATTTGTATTTCGTCACTCTGCACTTATAGTTCAATCAACTAAATTCTCTCAGAGGGAATAACTGTCTTACTTATGTGCTTTGTAGGACAAGTGGTCTTCAGCTTATGATTGCAGAACTATTCTTCTATCTATTCAAAGTTTATTGGAAGGTCTGTTCATATTTTATGAGTTTTGCATTCGTCTTTGTGTGCTTACCTAAGCAATTTACTTTTTAATAACAGAACCTAATCTGGAGAGTCCTCTAAACAGCTATGCTGCAGCACTTTGGAATGATAAGGAAGGTTGGAATTTTTTTTTGAAACTGCCAACATTTCAACTATTTATTATTATTGCTCCTAAGTTTACTTCATTTGATCTCAACTTCAATTACTATATTCCTGGAGGGTTGTAGAATCTGTCTTAGATCCGCTTTCCTATTCAATATATCTATTGGTCTAGTAGATTAGAGGTTTTGAGCTTTGTATATTTTTGTTGAATGCATTTTTTAATTGGAATTATGCATGGAATATATCTTGCAGATTACAGGAGAATGATCCACAAACAGTATTTTGCTGGAGAAGCACATGAAAGCTGATTGATACAATTTCAAAGCAAGACAAATTATTAGTTTCTGCACAGTAGTTGTAAACGTTTGTCTGAAGAAAAATTCTACAGCAAGTATGTCCATTTTTTTGTAATTTGATTTGATATTGGAACCTGAAATTGAGAGTTCAGAAGTCCTCTGCAAGTGTTTTGATAACTTTGTGAATAAAATCTGTAAAAAATTTCATTGCAAGAGTGCTAAATCACTCAACGGCATCTTGTGATATTTTTTCACCTGGATCATATATTCACATTACAATTTATCTCATATTTTGGATTCTCTTAGGATTCCTTCCTGTATGGACATACATCAAAATTTGTTTAGAAAATTTTAGTTATGAGATAAATGTAAAATTTAGTGGAGTGCCGAACCTTCCTGTGGCATGCAATTTCAACCATTTCATGAATTACACCATCCAATAATCTGGAACACAACACAAAAGGACAAACTACCAAAAGCATTATGTCCTACAAAACATCCTAGTAGGGAATGATCATCATCACATAAGGAAGCACTTGAAGTAATTATTCTAAATATTACAATGTCAATTTCTTATCCCCAAAAGAACAAGGCATGTCTATTTAAGAATGCCACATTAAAATGCTAATTATATATACCTCGTCCTTTTTATATATAATCTATTATTTTAAGATCCAAGAAGAATTTGACATTTCAAGGTTATCTATAAGATTGTTTCGATCACAAACGGGACTTTGAACAATTTATTGGAGCGTTCAATAAAAGGAACTGGAGTTCTTTCTCCCCGACACCAGTTTGCGTTGGAAAAAAATAAAAACAATCAGATTGTAAATGTTTATCAAAATGAAAATTGGCTCAATTAATAAGATTAAACAGCGTAAACAAAAGTCTTTTAACTCTTGAGATTAATCCCTACTAGTGATCAATTTCTGATATATCTTTCCTTAAAATGGAACAGCTTATTTTGCTTTTCCTAAAAGTATATTCTATCTTATGAGCATTTAAATCGACAACTTTAATAAGGATCTTCGCTGGGGTAATTCGGTTTTAAAGGGTAGACTTCTTGTTCTTCTTTTTCTTTTTTGTCAAAAAAAGACAGCTTTCTGAGCGCTGTGTAATTACTTCCAGCTTTCTTCTACCAGTCTAGGTTACATGTCCAAACAACTATTTCTTGAAAAAAAAAAAAAAAAAATCACAAACGGACTCTAAGAGTGTGTATAACAACCATTCTATTTTCTAACACCGTTCCTGAAAAGAAATAATTTTTTTCTATTTCTGTGTCTTGGAACAGTTTCTGAGTAAAAAAATGTGTTTAATGTGTTTGATAACGTGTTCTATTTTTACTCCAAAAATAAGAATTATATTTAATAGCACAACAAATAATATAATAAAAAATAAAAATGAGAACATGTTATAAAAACAACTTTTTATTTGGTTTAAGGAATTCTAAATGAGCATGTTGGAGGGCCCAAATCTGTGGATTTTCTTTGTGGTTGATCTGATATATGAAAATTTAAATTGTCAACTTTCTTCTCTTCTTGATATTGCAGGCTCCTTCTCCCGTAAAGCAAAAGAATCACAAGTCATGAAGTATTGCAGGAAGATAGAGCAATTGAACCTTTTATATTAAATTTTTTTATATAATCTTATAATGTGAAAATCTTATGTTTATTTCTGTCTTTATAAATATTTACAAATTTTGATATGATATTATTCATTTAATGTCTATGAAGAGACAAATATACATAATTTTTTTGCCTAACATGTTACCAAAATAATAATAATAATAATAATAAAATTTTGCCTAACAAGATCCCGTAAAATTTTAACATGAAAATTACACCTAACATCGTTCAATGAAAAGGCCAATTGTTGCGCCAACTGCTGCTGGCGGTCATGCGTGCATGACTACGTCAATAAGTGTTTTCAAGTGGTCTTATTGCACATTCTCGTTTGGTTATGGACAAGAACATTAAGCAACTAAAAAGGATCAAAATGAAAGAAACTGAAGATATAGCAGGGGTTTGTTCCATGTAATAATCCCAACAAGAAAATAAGGTTATTAAATGACATTGGGGTGAAAACAATATAAAAGGTTTGGTTGAGATAATATATTTAAACTTAGTGTCACGTTTATTTATATTGTTTAAATGACTTTTCCAGTAACCATTCTTCAAAAAAACAAAAAAAATTAGTTGTTTAATTGTGGAGTACAACCGAGAACAGGTAGATCTTCGCGTCCAAGATTTGGATCGACATCTAAGCCTTTCATGCAATTGCATAATCAAGTTTGGATTCTATATATCTGGGTAAGTACGCAGGATAGTTCAATTATCAGACAACAAGGAACAGAAACTTGAGTTTCATAAGGATCACAGTCCAAAGACAAAATGCACATTAAAATCTTCCTTAAAGACAGACAAAAATTTCTCATTACTGTACCATCTGTGAAAATGTCACTCATAATAGTTTGGCCGAACTTATCTGAATTTACAAAAGCTAAGGCATTATACATTTTCCGCAGCATCTGTTTGCAACTCCCCTGCACTCCGTGCACTAGCCAACCTCTCCGCAGCCAACCTCTCTTCCAGTGCTCGGGCACCTCTTTCTCTACAAGAAAGGAGCAGTGACAAATGGTTAATTGTTTTATGCAGTGTAATTACTACCACCTTTGCTAACAACTTTTTTCCCCTTTCTTTAGCTGAATCATTTACCACCAAGCAATCCATTACGCCCCACCCCCCCCCAAAAAAAAAAAGTTCCAGAGTTGCAGCTTTTATTGTTTATTTATTTGATTGTTTTCTTATGAATTGCTTCACAGTAGAAATTTCTAATTTAGAATATATACAACTAGGTGAGTTAAAACTAAAAGAACAGCAATGTGAAATTACCGCCTCCTAGATGCCTCGATGGGGTCGGAACCCGGCAAAGGGTCAGCTCCCAGAGGGTAACCTTCATCATCATTAGAAGTATCAGATCTTCCACAGAGCATTCGATGAAATATTGATGCAATAGGGTCTATAACCGGTCTACAGGGCAGGAAAAAAAAAAGGTTAATTAGAAAGACTAAAGGAACTTGTGATTCATCGTATATGACAGGCAATATAAAACCATAACTTACCTTAATAACTCTGGGAAAAAGGTAGAGAATGCAAAATCCTCACTTGGATCACCCTTAAGCTTTGTTTCTGGTTTCCTCTGCCAGTATCTAAGGTAAATCCAGCTCGTATATGTACCAAATATTATAGTTGGAAGATATGATGTTGCCTCCACTGTCCAGAAGCTCATAGCAATAGAACACAATAAAGTGATAGATGGTAACCACTGAACAGAAATGGAAGTGGCACCATGTTTAGAGCATCACCATAAACCCATTGTTGCAGAAAAGTAATGAACTAGAAGTTAAGGAACAAGTTAAGAACATCAAACCTTCATTTTTATCTTGAGGAAAGGAAGCTCTTGATCTGGTATAATTTGCTTGATGCCAACCAAGAAGCCAGATATAACTCCATGAAATCCAGAAAGTGGCAAATAACTAAAACATTGCAAAAGTATAAAGATCAAAACAACTGGATCAAGGTACAAACACAACGCCTAAAATGATTCAACAGATAGCATAGAGTAAAAGTAACTTCAAGACCTGAAGGGCCTAAAATAATATTCTAGTTCAAATTTTCAATACTTTATGTAATTTTTATCGTGATAAATACTGAACCGACAATGTTTTCTAATGTTGAAGAAAAAAGAGACTAAGTAATCAAGCTTCAAATGGGCCTCCATTTAGCTTCTAATAGAAAAATGGAGAATGAAAGAGCAGTACAAGGTCCGGCAAAGAGGGAAATCTAATAAACAGGAAGAAAATGAGATAGATAGCAGTGTGGGGACAGACAGAAAATATCACCAGATGGTAATGGATTTTAAATACTCACAGGTAAGTCTCCTGCCTCGTAATGTAGTATAAAGCAATAGCAGTGGTGAAGATACAAACAGAAGTTAGAAAGTTAACTACAAAGATGAACTTTAGAAATTCCTTGGGACCCCATACTGGTTCCAGCAGCTTCCCAATGAACAGGAGACCAATTGTGCTGACCACTACCTATAAAGTATACCAAAACAAATGTTAATTGTGAAGTTTTCCTTAAAACAACAGATACATTTCAGGAAATACAATGAATACTATACAGAAACTTAGTTTGAAAGAACAGCAAGTGCATACCCCATATACAGATTGTTCAATGTAACCAGCCGTAATGAGGTTCCAGACAAATGGGATTGTCCTGCAAAATCAAAGCAAAAGGAAAATAACTTTCAAAACAAATAAACTCGTGATTGGTAGAAGTGCATTTATAGCATGAAAGCACAATACTTTCGAAGAAAAAAAATGCCATGAAGACTAATGAATCAATATCGATGACTGCTTTACTGTAAGTAAACTTGATGCCATGAAAAGTACCTCATGTTTCCCATCAGTATAGTTTAAAGGGAAATAAAATTAGGAAGAAGAATAAATTTGACATGATAATACTGATAAACTCCTAAGTCCTAAGAAGAGAACATTCAATTCAAGCATGTTCATTCGAGTATCATGCGGCCTCTCTTTAAAATCAACAGAAGAAAGTTATCTAAAATTCTAAATAAATGAATTCAATTTTAGCTCATGGCAGAAACTATGCATTGACACAACAGAAACTTCTGTATCCACTACAGCATTACAAGTCACAACTGTCTCAAAGGAAACAAAACTTCACTTACCATTCCAGCTGGAGCTGGTAACATATTCAATCTTTACAATGTAGCAGTTTTACTCATATTACTTTATCTGTTGTGGCATTATTTTAGAGCGTTTTCCTACTGGCATTCACAGTAACTCACAGAAGTACATAACTTCAACCAAAGCCCATCGATTTCACATCCTTCTCCGTTCAATAACTAGTTGCAAGCAGTTATTATAATAACGGAAACAGCTAAGGTCCAAGTATATTACTCATTAGGTTGTGCTCTATCCATAATAACGGAAACAGCTAAGGTCCAATTATTACGGAAACAGCAGTTATTATATCACAATCCAAGTCTATACCAGAAGTAGGTTGTGCTCTATCCTCTGCTATAAGCCAAATGTTCAAACAACTTGAATAGGCTAAACCAAGGGAGGCCAAAAAGCTTATACCCAAGCTAATCATGGTATTCTATCCGCACATGATACAAATCCCAAGCTGAGCACTCAAGATATTTAACAAAGAGTTTCTCAAATAAATTTGGGTCAAGCACATTTAAGTATCTTCTTCTACAAGGGCCAAAAAAAAAAAAAAAAAAAAACTAGAAACTGAAAATTCGAGAAAAGGTGTATCTCAAATAGAGATGTCAAACACAAAACACAGACAAGAAAAGGAATAGAAGTAAAGGATTTGAAGCATGCAAAATGGCAGAATGACTGGGATCTCCTAAAAAAATAAAATAAAAAATCATTTTTCAGTCAACCACCAACACCCAAAAGAAAAGTAATTCGGAAAAACAAAAAAAATCCCAAAATGGTGATGGTTCTACAACATAATAAAAAAGTTGACTTTAGATCAATGAATAGGGTATATAGGTAATAATAATAATTAAAAACAGTGAAATGAAAGCATTATGCAAATTGAGGGAAAGCCATAATGATAATTAATAAAAAGAGATTGGAATGAATTGAGTTGAGGGTACCTGGCGGGAATGAGGGCGAGGTAGGTTATAACGAAAGGGAAAAAGTGAAGAACAATGTGTGCAGAAACCAGAACCAGGGAAAGACCCTTGCATAGACGAGTGAATCCAGACACAGACAACAGCCTCGTGCCCTGCCATTGCAATTGCTATTGCTATTACTATTACTATTACTATTACTATTACTCATTCACACACACAAATCCATAATAATTCAAAGAAGAAATAGCAAGATCTGATTTTCAAGGGAGATACCTGTGATTGTGAGAGCGGTGGCGTGCTCATGGAGATGAACGAACAAAGGACTTCAATCTGAATCTGAATTATCAAAGATAAGATCGAGATTGAGATTCACTACACTTCTTCAAATACTTACCGATATTGTTTGTTCTCTTTGCTTTGCTTTCTCCGTAAGATTTCCTTTCTTTGTTTTATTTATGAGATTTATTTTTCTTATCTTTAGTAATAAAGAATTTATCTCCTATATATAAATTCAAAATGGACCACTGCATTATAAATGAGTTTGTAGAAAGAGATAATAGTTATTGGGTTCGCTTTTTATGCAATTACTATTGTAGATAAATATGTTGTTTTAGGATGAAAATTATGATATTTTTATAATTTTAATTTATTTCAAGTTATAATAGTCTTTATATTTATAACTTCTTAAGATTTTAATACTAAAACGATGTCGTTTTGAGAATAAATGCAGATAAATTATCTAAAAAATATTTTTCCCATAATTATTTTCTACTTCATAAAAAAATTATTACTCTTTATTTTGTATTCAATGAAATTTTAAACTGGCTTATAGCTTATTAATAGAGAGTTGAATTTTATTATTAATATCAAAATATTAAAGAGTGTGTTATTATAGCATTTCTCCTTAAAATTTTTGTGGTTATACCGAAATCAATATGCACAAATTATTAATAATTCATACTAAGAATTTTTTATTTTCTTTTTCTTTTTCCTCAAAACTTTGTAGTCGATAATCTTGACATATAATTTAGGTTTAACTTTTTTTTTCATTCTCTATAAAAAGTTAAAAATAAGGAGAAATAAATAAATAAAAGATTTAACACAATTCAACTTAAAACTAAAAAACTAAAAATAAATTATAGTCATTGCATCAATGAGAATGGATCATTTCATATTAAAATTCATGCGACCTAGTCAAATGAATTTCTTGTGCATATATCGTTCTTCACATGTATTAAATAAGTGAAATTCAATTATTATCATTTGTTGTTATTTGTATTGTAATTAATAATTAATTAATTAGTATGATTTTCTAAATTATAACTGTTAGATGGGCACAAATCAACGGTTAAAATGAAAAATAAGACTTATAAGTCTTACTATAAAATCAAAAAATCCTTCTCCAAAATTCTAACTATATCACTAATTCCCATAAATAATAGTTTGTATGATCTAACCTTAAAAAAAAGTTAGGGGATAAATTTCAAAATCTTAAATCGCTATAAAAATTTATTTTAAAATAACTTAAAACCGAAAGAGTTTTATTGTCTATTCTCCAAGAGGAATGCTTATCTCCTTTTAATTAATTTGATAACTGAAACATCCAAGTAAAGCAAAAACAGAGGATAAGAGGACCACCGCAACAACAAATGACATTTCCTTTCTGTATTATAATAATACAACACAACGTGAGAGAAAATATGCCCATTCCTTCTTACCATTTAATGTAACCCCCTTCTCTTAATTACTTGTAATTTTCTCATTTCATCTTAGTACAAATACTTTGCATGTGTTGCATTACGAAACCAACGCGTAGTTTTCTAAATAAAGACACTTCAACTTAAGACAACCCTGCAAGCACTTCAAGTTTGATTCTTGATTTGATGCGCTGCACTCAAAATCCTTTTGCTATACAAACATTTGTATATACACATCAAACATTACTAACACCAAAGACATCTTTACTTAGAAAATAAAAAAAGCAGGGAAAAAAAAAACCTTTAACTCATTACATGAAACTGTACACACTTGAAAGGTATCAAGATCTGGACTGTAGCAACATTAGTCCACAGCGTACAGCATTCCTTAGATATTAAAAGTAATTGTAACTAAAAGACACTGCAATCCTATACTATACCTATACTTCACCTGTCTGACATCAAATTGGCTCCAAAGTTAAAACATTCACCTTATGCTACAAATTCAATTGCTTTGGTTAGCAGTAAATAAATGAAATTTCACTTTCTTGTTATCAATATACATATAAACCTTTCTTTTCTTTTTCTTTTGAAACTAAATGTTCAAAGAAAATATCATGCACTGACTGCATATCTCTTAGGAGCATCGAATAGGGGCCCCAAGTAAACTTCAGACAGAGACACAACAACCCGGTGGCAAGCCAAAGTTGAAGCTGTCATAATTATAACAAGGGAGGCCCAGCAGAACCGCATCATCAATATTTTATCACTGCTTGCAGATTTTAAAACCTTGGAGAATATCACTCTAAGTCTCCGGTCTCGAAAAATGGAATTATAATCATATGCAGGCAAGGATGATCGACCTGATTCTTTGTTGCTAGGTCCATTACCCAATATCACCCTGGAATGCTGACTAACTGTAATTCCTTGTCCAAATAATTTAATCATCCATTGGTAGAGTACGTCAGCCATGATCTTGCAAAGTTGTTCGCGAAAAAACTTTCCCTCCTTTGAGACCATTACTTTGATCAAGGAAGCTCCATCCTGTTCATTCCATGAAAAGCAAGTTTCTTACGCTAAAATAACTATTTTAGCCAAGTAAAGAAAATCTTCAAGCACAAGCATATTTTCTTTTTCCTGGCCCAGTAATAATATTAATGCAAGACTCAGTATAATAAATACAGTCATAGGGAACAAAATTATTTGGTAGAATGAAAATTTGATTACAATGTTAATCCATCAGCAGGTGGTGGGGTGACCTAGCTAGTTGTGTAAAATGGGAACAAACTAAAACTAATTCAATCCACTGACACATTAAAATATCAAAGCAAGATTACAAGAATTTGGAAATCTCATTCTCTCAAAATCAGCAATTCATCAACCACAACCACATACAGAAAATAAACTAACCATATATCTACTGCTAATTATGAAAAAGCAGATGAACATAACAAACAACCAATACAGGCAACCAAGACAGGATGGTGAAAAAATCGTTAAGTGCATAAGAGATAGACGGCTTGTAGGAACTCACAGCAGTCATGAGAAGTCTTCTGAGAGCAACACCATCTTTGGATGGTAAAAGCCTCAAGACCAAGAACGCAACATCAAACTTATCAGTGGCCTTATTTTGTAAATGAGGAAGGGAAGTCTCGCTATTTGATGCTACTAGTTGCAAGGCTTTCCTGACAATGGATCAGAAGTATGAGATGCTATATTTACAGCTGTAAAAAATAGATATTTATCAAGTAATAATGGATTAACTAAAACAGACTAGCCTAACACATAAACGATAGCTATAAGCAAATCCAGAATGAATGTCTCTTGTTCAGCAGAAAATGCCATCATAATATGTTACTACAGCACATTAATGCTCTTAGGACTCCTTTACCGCACAATATTTTCTAGTTTGTCAGGTGAAGCAATGAGAGGGTTAAGAAGAACGCTGAATTTAGAGGGTGTAGGACCGTCAAGGAATCTGGTTAGCAGATATCAAGAAATTTTGGGAGAATTCCAAATAAGGAACTCATAATAAATATATTTACCCTAAAGGAAAAATAACCAATTGGAGTGGTTATTATACATAATATATTGGCTTAAAGGAAAGAGTAGGAGAACAGAAATACTTATAGCAATAAGCGGCTCTTTCTTGAATAGATTGCTAAGTTAAACAGGAAAGTACATAGGAATTATAAAAGAGCTTCAGATGCATACTACTGAGTGTTTACATTTAATTAGATAACAATTGGCACTTTTCCTTTTTATCTTTCATATCAAAGAGGGTCTTGCTGTTTACTACATAGTAGTTGGTAGATGAAACTGAAAATACAAAGTAGATAGATCCGAATATATATATATATAGTAGGTTGGAGCGTTAGCATTAGAAATTGTGATTAAAATTCTAAAAATATATCCAAAACATCGTAGATAAAAAAGAAAAAGAGCTACTTCCAGGAGAGCATACTCCCTAGCATGCCATTTTGACATACCTACTTGCCCCTACCCTCAAGAACAGGGAAAGCCTTTGCCACTGGAACTCCTTCTTTCGGTTTAGAAGCACCTAAACAGGAGAAAACAAAGTTTTAAGAAAAAGAAGAAGAAGAAGAATATTTGGTACTTCAGATAGCAATATAAGTTCAAGGATCAAGTAATCTTGATGGTTTAGGATACGTTTAGAAGAAACAGCATCAAGTATGCACATTGGTAACAGTCACAAAATAAATCCATCAGTACCACAGAGATGCTGTCTAATAGCTCACATGGATAAATATTCAAAAACAAATTCATGTGTGGCTAAAGTTTAAACAAGTATAAAAACATAGTATTAAATTTCTTCTCATTTTTATAGAGGAAAAGGGCTCAGGATATATTCTCTACACTTTAACATCAGCAAACTGCAAAAAGATGATAACATGTTACAGTTCTGTGGACTATTGGCACAGAGCTCATTATTCAAGGGCTTATAATACCGAATGCAATATATTCCTTGTTGCAGCTGAGTTTTCTGTAAGAAGTTTCCGAACAACATAAGGGTATGCGGCTTCAAAAGTCTTGAAGTTACTATCTGCAGCTATAGCCAAACCTGAAATTGATTCATAACAAAATATGAGTTCAAGATAATAAAATGAGAAATTAGAAATTCAATACAAATCTTTCAAATTTCATGTTGGTGCATAAATAGAATTTATCAGTATGACAAAAATGAGCATTGAAGAAGTAATTTACATGTGCTATTGACAGTTTACCTTCAAAGGAAGCAAGGGATCTTAAGACAAGTGTGTAATATGGTGGCATACGGAAATGATACTTGAATGCTACAGACCAAATCTTTCCCAGAACCTTGAGGAAAATTTATTAAAAAATTAAGTAACTGAAGACAAGAAAGCTTAGAAAAGCCAAAGCAATTAAAAATTTAGAAAGCCAACTATTAACATATGTTCAACTACATGGCCAGTATTACTTTGCTTGGATATAAATTATCAGACAAATACAGAATTTAAATGTATATGCAGTACTAAGTGTACGTAACAAAGACATATACCAGATGTGAGTTACTTAGACCAACTTATAACAGAATAGCAAATGCAATCACGCATAACCAAACCAACAAGGTTATGTTTGAAAATATTGATTCAGCAAAATAGTATATGGATTTGAAGTGATTTATAAATGGTATCTGTTGTTACTTTGATTTATCAAATCATGACTTAATGAAACAAAAAATGAGAGCTCAAATTTTTATCAAACTTCAAACTAGTTAAATTACTCCACTTGTTTAAAGCAAGAAATCTATAGTTTCTAAACTTTATCGAATAACACAATACAAACACCGTCCATAATATGCACACATTCAAATGGAACTTGATTGTATTTAAACAATAGGTAAAACTAAAACTCTAAATTCTCAATAAAAAGAAAAAAGAATTAGTTAATCTGATTATCTATCACGACAGACATTTATTAAGAGAGAACTACAATTTAGGAAACTCTACTGAACATATTTCAAATTTAGGAACAATTAACCAACAACACAAACAATGGCTAATCAATGCTCAAAGAGTGGTTAACAAATAATCATAGATTTGTAACCAAAATAAATAAATAAAAATAATCATAGATTAATTTGATTAACCACTCCTAATAAAATTTGCTTAATTAGTTTCCTAATTAGAAATATGTTTAATGGGACTTCCTCAAATGTACTTCTCTCCACTATTTTATGAGTTCGAGATCATGCACAAAAACTTCAATGTCTAATGCTCACAAGAGTAGATACTTGTCATTGTTTATTAGTAACCTGCCTCCTTTGCACATTTTTTCTAACTTAATGGGGATTCCTTCCTCCACCTGTCAAAATCTATACAAAGCACAAAAGATGCTTCAACAAAAAACAGTCCAACATTCAGGAGTGGCAATTGTATCAGCTTTTGGATATCTGATACTAAATGACAAAAAAACTATCAAATATCCAAACAATTAAGGATGCCAAACAGTTTTTTTATAGTCAAATCATATTATCAGTTTGATTAAGGATGATTTCAATTTTAACATTTGTATATCTGGTGCCAACCATATACCCATACACACAGACATTTGTAAAACAGAATCATCATTACATTAATTGTACACAGATTTGAATGACTTGAATTTCATACGGCATCATTTCTGTTGAAATAAGTTGTATGTGAAGACAACCTTATATCTAATTTTCATTATGCATGAGAGAACATGATTAATTTTATCAAGGATATACATACCACTTCCCCAGTTTATCTTTAGACATATGCAATGTGGTTGGTTTTGGATATTTCACATACTATGGACGTTGGTTATGGTGTTTTCAATTTTAGGAATGAGATTGGACCAAAATTAGTCAGAAATCCTATCAATTTCCATCCCTTGACATTCACAGACAGTGGTTTGCACTGTCATCTGACATACATAATTCAATTACAACTCTTCTTGTTAAAGATGACTCTCACCCTGCTAAACTTCACATCAGGAATTCCTTCTTTAAATTCTACTTCTCCCAAGGCCTGTTCCAGTTCCTGAAAATGTAATAGAGATTTAGAAAGTTATCTTGTGAGCATAAGTTTCAGAAGGATGCAGTCCATGCAACAAAAAACTGTTAGTATGAAAATGCAGTTCTTATTTGGTTCAAATGTTCAATGGCAAGATAATCAAATTCTGAGATTCAAGTACCATGGTAACAAGTCGGATATTTGTCCCTGGCTTCACAACATCCATATCAGTCAAAGCACGGACAAGGGATGCCCAGTCACCATTTACTATATGAACTATTGAAGCCAGCATAGCAAACTGATGCTTTTTTTCCATTTGACAGAGCAAACCAAAATCCAGAAACCTATCACACAAACAAAAAGAAGTAACAAAAATTCATTTAGATTTCTGTGATGAAGGAAAACCATAAGTTACTCAGATTGGATAGGGAAGAAAATAAAAATACCCTATCTGTCCTGAGGAAGTGTAACGCAGGTTACCAGGATGTGGATCAGCATGTAATAAGCCAGTTTCAAGAAGTTGCACCAATGTTGCTTCAACACCTTTGTTGACCTGAATTAATGAGTAATAGAAGTAAACATTCATTGAATATGACACTTTCATAATAGTGAAGCACTCAAGAGTCTCAGACACCAAACAAAGCAAGGTTTTAGTAGAATCAGTAATTCTTAAATGATGAAAAAGTTCAGTTGAGTAATAAAAGGGTCAAATAAGTTAATGGAAAATTGACGAAGAAATTTTACAAGTACCTCAATCCAAAGCCATGTTTATTTTGTAATTGAAACTCTTAAGTATCAGAAGGCCAAAATTCCCTTTTTACTCATACTTTTCTTGTAATTCTATTGGGAAAAAATCGATTAACTTCAAAAATCCAATTGGCTCCTGGCATAAGCCAATAGTCAGCACATCATCAAACATCCATGATATACATAATTTTTGCACAATGTAAAGACAAAAATAGAATTGCATTTGTGTTTTTTTATACCAGATCAAGAAGACGCCTTTTTGCATCGATTTTCTGCCTTTCTGAATATTCAGAGACATTTCCAGATACAGAGCTTTCAGTAGATACAGAAAGCAAATCTGTTGGACTTTCACCAACCATCCACTCCATGGTCAGAACTCTCTTTCGACTTAAATGTGGATATATTTTTGGCACGCGTATGAAAGCAAAGGGAGAGTGAACTTCCTGCATGTAGCAATAATAAGTCAATTGAAAGGGCGAAACATTTATCATTATTTTCTCAGAAACCAAATCAACCTAGGTTCACATTGAAATTTTAAACTCCAATAAAAGATTTCATCAATATTCTAAATTGCCTAGTTCCTAGATCTCATCAATATGTAAAAAAATAAGCTCCAATTGATGTCATTTATTACCATAAATTTTGATGCATTTGCAGCCTCTAAAGTGTAATCTAATTCACCAACAAAACCTTTCCCAAGCTCATCAGCGTAGAGGCGAGGGTCACTTTTTCTATTGGCAATCTTTTGCAGAAGCCCCAACTGAAATGGTTAATATGCACAGTCATTTAAGAACTTCATGCAGGATAGTGTAATATATGTAAAAAGCCAATAAAGATCATAGTCAATACAAACCCCAAGGCGAAGGATGTAGATATCCCGCACCACCACATGATGCAAATTAGGACGCTGAACTTTTACAGCAACATTTATGCCATCAGTAGTATGGGCAAAGTAAACCTAGAAAATGAAAACAAATAAATTAATAAGACATGCCATCACACCAACACTTCTAAATAAATGCAACCACAAGCATCCAATTCACAGTAATAGTATTTAATTATACATGGCAATCCATTGTCATAGAAAAAAAGTACCTGACCAAAAGATGCAGCAGCTATAGGTTCCTCCGAAATGTAACTGAAGAATGATTCCACAGGAGAACCTAATTCTTCCGCAATAATCTTCATAGCAACAGCCCTGGGAAAAGGAGGGATTTTATCATGCAGTTCTGACAATGCCTGCAAGAAGAATGTAATTGAAATATATAGACATAAATTGCCAATGCAGTCACTCAAACTGTTAGTAGCATTACAAACATGATAGAAAGGCAAGATGTTACGATCTTGGAAAAATGATAAAAATTAATAATACAGATGATATTCTGTAGCTTATAGTATATTTAACCAGGAGTTTCATTTAGACAAACAGAGATAGAAGCGCACATGAAAGAAACACAAATAAACTTTCCATGAAAATTAGTATTACCGTTAAAGAACATAGTTACAGCCCAGAATTTGATATATATTATATAACCACATATTGTCATCATCTAACAAGACATTTTCATTGCCCATAACCAATAATTAGCCCTAACTTTCAAAGTTCATCTCAAGAAAAAAATGTTCAACAATTAAGAAATAGGAATACAGACAGTTTTTAATCTAACCTTGGACATTTCAACCCCAATGATATCCGGCCTTGTGGAAAGGGACTGACCAACTGCATCACCAATCAAATGAATGTAACAAGCATATTGGTAATGTTGTGACTGCAGGAGAGAAATGAAAGCCGCAACAGAAATTTTTTAAAGCAATAGGCATTAAAAAAAAATCATATAAATCATAATGAAATGATGATAAGAATATAATTTAACAATTATACTAAGATATCAAATTGATCAAATTCCTCACCTTTTATAAAGGTGGGGCCAAGATTAAGCATTGTTTCCTTTAACACCATCCCAAAATTATATTGAGAGGTTTTATCATCCACTTCCTCTTCTGGATTTAGCTGTAGAATCTTTCTAAACCCTGAAGTTCGAATACTGATCACAGCAGAGGCAAAGGAGGAAAATACCTTCCAGAATGAAATATTACTCAATAAGTATACATTTCAAGAAAGAGTCAAGAAAGCATCTTGTCATCAATTTCAAACCCATTGGGGGTAAAAAAAAAAACATCTAATACAGGCTCAATTTAACTACTATGTAAAGTTTATTATGAATATTATAATTGAGAATGGACTGAGCCTAACTCAACTCCAAAAGCTAGCTTGTGCAAGAGGGGGAGGAGGAGGATCGGCAAAGTAAGGGGTACTTTTCCGATATTCCCAACCAATATGGGATCTTAACACACACCCCTTAAGCCCCAGACTAGACATCAGCAAGTGGCCCAACATCACGACTGAGATAGGCTCTAATACCACATTAGAATTGATGTGGGATCATAAAAATGACAAATTTGTGTACTACAGCATAGGGCACATCTATAGCATGTCTCTTTGATGTATGATGACAAAAATTTAAATTAAAAATTTATACTATTAGTAAAAGATAACATTTTACTGACAGAAGTTGAATAAAATGAATAATAACTATCACGCATTACAGATGCAGAACATGTAAGAAAACCATACAAAGATGCAATTGAATTCAGTAAAGCAGAAAATGCTCCTATTTGAATTGAGTATATCATACAAGTCAGGCAATTAAAGCTCATCTATCATACCTACCAATAATTCATATTCGGATTAACATCTTTCCTAGATTGCAAACATTCAAAACAGCTGTGTATTTTAAAAAATTCAGTACATGCTTAATACCCAAGTAGGCTTTTAAAGTCGATAGTGTTTTTTGGGTCATCTCAAACCTTGTGTCGTGATTTTTATAGCCCCAGAAAAAAGAATCTCAGGACTTTTTACATACACAGGATTCAATTGATTTAAATAAAAAAAAAAATCAAGGCAAGAATCAAATAGTATCGATCCTAGGTATTGTATAATTCTTATGAAACTAAGAAAATAAAGAAACAACTACTGCTTGCATGCGACACATTGGACCTACAATCCTTCCTGAGCCTTAGTCCCCAGGCTAGTAGATATTATACCAATTTATCCATGTAGGAACCAATTATCTTCTACTAATACATAAAATGGATGATTGTAATACATCCATATATAAATGAGCAGGTTACAAACAAGTTTTGTGACTTAAGCTGAAAGAAAAACCTAGTAAAAGCCAGGTAAACATTCACATCGTAACCTAATGATATATGAAGGAGAAGAATAGATTTGTAGAATTATTGCATGTTTTAGTTCCAATGGTCATTCCAACTACCTCAAGAATACGAAGGGCCACCAGATGGGGCCTGACACTAAAATAGTGAGCAACATCCTGAGGATCATAAACTTCAGGGAGTGGCTTAGACCACATCTTAGACAAATAATAGAAGTAGCCAGCATATGCTTCCAATGCCTTGAGATCAGACATGAGCAAATCCACTCCAGAGAGTCCTGGAAGACAATAAGAGATCAATCAATACAATAAAGAAGGAATAAGTAAACTCTATATCTGATTGTCAGCACTATCATGCAGTTCAACGTACTATATTTGTACTTAATCTTATCTTCATTTACAAAGGTGCAATAGGAACTCTCATAATCTCATCGAAAACAGCTATGGTAGTAACTTGATTTAGCCTAACTTAATTTGAGAATTAGCTCCTCCATTCCAAATCCAAGTTTTTTTTTTTAAGTCCATTAAACAAATATGGTCTTCTTATCAATAGACAGCAAAAAAAGAAAAGAAACACCAATAAATAGCGGGACTTGATGTCTTCCCAATAAAATGCAAGGACATACAGCAGAACGAGTTTGAATTAAAACAAGCCATGATGCATTCGAATAAGAGCATCACGCAGGAATCACCATTATCTCGGCTCTCAGTAATCTCATTAACCTCCCACCCAGACACCTAGAATATGCATAAGTAGCAAGTTAGAAACCACCGCATTACATTTTCCCCCATGAACTTGAACCAATTTTTTAAGCCATATAACTTTCACACCTCACCATTAGTCCACAAAAACACAAGTTCCCACATCTTCAATCAGTAACGTAATCACCATCAATCACCCAAACAGACCCACTATCACTCTGAAGCTCTGAAACTCTGAAACTCTGCGTCCAGTACAAAAACGGCCCACTCACAGAATTAGGCCAATTCAACAATCAGACCCACTAACATTTCAAGCCATTCATGCATTACCCATTGGCATCAACCACAAAAACACCATATACCCATTTTACAAAACCCACTTTGACTGGAATTAGACATGTATACGCACACCCCACATGCAAAAATAGCAATTTTTTTTTGTACCTGGGTACCAAGGGTGAGGCCAGGAAGGTGCAGAAAAGGGAGGAGCAAGAGGGTCTTCGAGATTGCGAAGCCAAACAAGGTCGTCGATTTTCTTGGCAACCTGGGGAATGCGTAAGGCCTCATTGGCCCACGCAACACCGTTATCAAATCCTCTCTTCAGAAACTCCATGTCCTTGCGAACCACGTGACCCAAGTGGCTGAAATTTCCAAAAGCGCGCTGCTTCTGTTTCCTCTTCTTACTCTGCGGGCTCCTCGAAGACGCTGTTGCGGCGGAGGTGCGGGCGGAGGTGCGGGAGGAGAGGAGGGCGGAGATGGGCGCCGACGACGGTGGTGGTGCTATCGCCGTCGCCATGGGCGGAAACAGAAACGGTTAAAGACTCAAAAAGTGGGGTTGAAGTTGAATTGGTTGTGCATTTGTTGTTGCATGTGACTGAGATGATTATGAATTATGATATATCACATATGGAAGGTGAATGTGAAGAGTACATACTAGAACAAGTTCTAGTGGTGTGTTCTGTGTGGCTGTGTGGTAAAGTTGTGATTCGATGATGAAGAAGAAGACGACAAATAAGTGACACGTGGAAGTTCATGTGTTGTTGTTTTTTTTGGTATTAAACTTAAATTTATATATTATGATTCGTCTGTTTTTCAAACACTCATGGACTAATGCAGTCTCTTAATTTATTAATTGAAAAAAATTAAGTCTCTTAATTAGTTTTTCATCTAATTATCAATAGATAGTTTGTGATCTAATGATTAATAGAAATTAATAATGTAACAAACCTTCCAATCAACCTCCTCTTAATAATAAAGGTTAGTCCCTCGGATAAATGAATTTAGTTACTATCGTCGTGATACTTTCCCGAACAAGTGTAGTTATTTACCTCGAGATCTTGTACTCGTTTATCTGTAGGGGGTGTTTGGTACGCGGAATTTTGAGGGATTTTCGAGAAATTGAATTTGTTTAAATTTTAAATTTTCAGATATTATCGTAAACTGAATGCAAAAATCATATTTTTAAAAATCGAGATTTCCGGAAAAATAAAAATTTCTCCTGTACCAAACGCCAAGGTCTCCCGGACAAAAATCATATTTTTAAATCAATGTATTGTTGAATGAATAAGTTCAATAATGTAGTAATTTGAGCTTTAACTTCACGCCCCCAAATGAGTATATGTTTCACAATGCATAGCTGTTAGATAATGTAGGTAACATTTTATTTTTATTTTTTTATATCTTTTACGACACAATGGTTTTGTTCATGCATGGGGCCTGGACATTTTTGCTTGATTTATGGAGCACCGGTAATCTTTCCTTACGAATAAAGCTTCCTTGATAAGGTGATTAAACTGTAAAAATTAGTGTAAGTTGATTCTGAGTATGTAGTCCACGATGGTGTTTGATATTTCCGGTACATTTGGGTTGGCAATAAACAAGATGCGAAACTTAAATGGTAAGAGAATATTTTTCATTGGCAAATTTTCTTAATATCAGTATCAAGGGTCAAAATTCAGTGAACAAGACTACTTTTCATTATTGAAACCTACAATAAAGGAATCAAACACAAAACCATGGCATTTTTTTTGTTTTTGTCTGTTGCTCATCTTGTTAGGATTTTGCCAATACTACCCAAATCAAACAAAGTAGTAATTGTGGCAACTTGCACCGCATATGAAAGTGCGATACGGTATAGAAAACTACCAAGTTTCTATTTTGAAGCGAGTATTCCAAGTATCAGCAGTGGCATCAGGAGTGAGAGCATAGTCATTACTTGTGAACAGCAAATGCACGAAGATGAAGAAGATTCATCTGGTATGGCATATGTGTGAATAAAGTTAGTGCAGCAATAGAACTATGATTTCTTCTACCATAAATTTATTACTACTAATAGATGATGAAATTTGAGTTTACCTGAAACGTTATCTGCTGCATCTGAGGGTATTTCTGGGGCATTTAATTTCTGTATGATCTGTGAGATTGAAGCTGATTTCCCCAGATATAACCTTGTGACCTTTTCAATCATGGCTAGTCCTTGAGTACTGCAATAAAGGATTGAATTTATGAGACATATTTTAGTATTTCCATTGTACTAAGTACAGTTTCAGTCCAGATTTTCACATACAGGGTTCTATTGAATTTTTACTTTTAACACAAGTCTAAATCACATGGTAAATTTATGTGGAGGTGGGTGCCAGAAAAACATTGTATTACTAAATCACTGTTCGAACTCAGGTTGTTTAAAATGTTTGTACCAATATATACTGTAACATTAAAACCTGCTTTAGGCCATAATATAAGTCAAGCAAAAGAAATTCCCAGGCCACGATATTCTATTTTACCTTGGACTAAATAAGTGGCTGCGAACATCTTTTGGGGTATAAAGAGCATCCACCAAACTAGCATTCGTTAATGTTTCTAAAACGTGAATTCTTTTCTTGTTGGGCATTGAGTTATGTGACATTATCACGTTTGCAGGAACAGCTCCAAATCTGATTAAGGGTGAAGCGAACAACTTTAGTTACTAGTGAAATGAGAAGAGGATAAGCAACACTAATATGTTGCAATTAAAAGCATATGCATTTAAGTATTTCCACAATGACATTCTATCATAAAAAGACATCTCAGTCAAGCTATTCAGGTCAACAAGTCAACACAAGTTAGTTTCTTTTTTCATAAGGCTTTCTTATGCCTTTCCTATTGTCCTGCCTAAAAATTCATTACTAACCAGAATCAATTGTATAAAGAAGCTTCAATTGGGGAATTATTTGGATTTTGCCTGGCCAGTGCCCTTTCTGAACCCCCCCCCCCCCCCACTATCCAACTTTCCAAGAAAGTTCAAAAGACAAAAACAAATGCTATTCAAGTTTACATCACTTAATTTATTATGTCAAGAATCATCCTCACATTCTCAACAACTAAGTATTTAAGTGTTAAGTACTTACGAACAATCTCCAGGATAACCATTGATTTCTCTGCAACCCCCTTGAGGACAAAGATACCTGCAGTTAATCAATTGATTAATTTTAGTTGAGGAAACACTTTTACTTTATGCATTGCATAAGAGATTCCTCAATGCTAAGGCAAGGTACTTACATGAAGTCCCTAACAGACTTCGTTGACCATGAAAGATTATGAGGCCCCTCCATAGAATAGAGCAAGGCAGTATCACCCTTGACAAAGGCAATGTCTCCCAATTCCTCTACTAGGCACCTAAAAGCACCTGAGTGACCGGAATACAAACCTATTTCAGGGCAGGTTTCATTCTCTTTGCTGCATGCATTACATATATCAGAACCTTCAAACTCTGATGGAGCACAGACACCTGAGAAGAAACTAGTTGCAATTTCCCTGTCATTTAATTTTCCATTATCAAATAAGTTTTTAATGTAGTTGATGGGATAGTTCCATCCTGCTGCTGTGGAATAACCTCCATGGCAAGACTTGTGATCTTTGAAGTCCATTAAAGTGATCTTTTCATTGTTATCACATACCCTTCTGTTTACAACTGCAACAGCTTCATAGGTTTTGGAATGATCACAATAAATCTCGTTCGCTATGGCTTTCATTGAGTAGTTGATGAATGCATTATAAGCAAGACCTGCTTCTAAGCTCACCAAATCTGCTTCTCCATTCTTAATTGACTCCAGACAATATTGGGCTTTGTCTCTTTTGACACTAAAGACATAAGAATTAATTCAGAATCATATATCACTATATAACGTTGGAATGTTGCTTCATTTTCAATTGCTTATTTGCTTCAATGTTGAATCTGCTGCAGGAAGAAACAAAGGGTTTTGAGAGAACCAGCAACTTCAAGTTTCTTGTAAAGAAAAGTACTCGTTGCTGCCATTGTTACCACCAACTTATCTTGCAAGGAAATTTTTTTTTTTTTTTTAATGTAAACAGAGTTGAACTTAGAAGTCCACAATTCCTATAATTTAAAAATATTAAATTGGCTTTTAAAAAATACAATAGCAAGAATAAAATAAATATTCAATCATTAAACCATGCAATAATAAAATAAAAATAATGATAAAAATAATGATAAAAATAAATAAAACATTTACAAGCTAATAATAATAAATAAAGGGAAAACAAGTGTGACAAAGATAAAAAAGAACTAGGCTCCGTCAAATTTTGGGTAAAGTTGTATCATTTTAAGAGAGAGAAAGAGATAGATAAAGGAGAAAAGAGAGTTGACAAAAATAAAATAAAAGTGTGGGTCTCATCTCTCTTTATGAGAGTGAAATGATATAAGTTGTGTCATTTAAAAGAATAAATATTTTTTCCTCAAATTTTTCTCTCATTTTTATTTTTTTATAGTTTCTCTCTCTCTCTCACTCACACACACTTTTGTGTAAACTATTTCTGCCACAAGTAGTTTTCCCATAAATAAAAGAGTGACAAAAAGAATATTCTTCATTTTTATTAGCTAATAAATGGAAAATACAATATATTTTCTCATATAGCTTACCATTTCCACGTGTAGCCAGTTAATTGGTTAACGACACTGAAAAAGGACTGACACTCCTCCACTTCGTCTCTCACTGTGCACCACCTCACGCCGCCGTCCTCGGTCGCCGGAGCACCGGGTGTGATCTCTCCGGCGCTCTCAACTCCATAGCCGCCCACCCCATTTTCCGAGATCGGCGCTGGAGCTCCCTGAGACCAGTCGTGCCACTCCCCCATAACCGCCGGTGACGGAGGAGCGGACTCGCCGGAAAGAGACCCACCACCAACCCCACCGTCTGCAGCCACAGGTGGCGACAGAGGAGGTTGGAATTCGTGAACAGAAGGGGTTGGTGCATGGTGATCACCACCAGAGCTTGGTGCTGGCAATGGCTGGAATTGGAAACCTAAAAAGTGTAAACAAAGGAGTGTGTAAGAACTGTGATGTTGAGCTTTTGGAATGTTTGAGAAGATAAGCACTAAGCATGCATGTATACGGGGTATACCTACCTTGAATGAAGGATGATGAGATAGGATGAGAATTGAGTAAGAAGAGAAAAAGAAAACGAACAAGTGTACTTGTTGGTATCTTCATCTGACAGAAAGAAGAAGAAGAAAGTGGGAACTGTGGGGTGTGAGTTTGATGATACGATGAATGAGGTTCATGTTTTTTGATGTCAAAGGTTGTTATGGTCATGACCCCTTTGCGTTGTTACGAAGGCATAGCTTAGGTGCAAAACAAGGAACAATAACACCTTATTCAAATGGAGCAATTGTCAACTGTTACTGTATCAGAGTACTGTAGCTTCATTTTTTAAAGTTAGGGATTAAATAATTGCTTATGATAATTATTCTGATTAATTTTTTAATCTAAGAAATTTAAGAGTAAAGGAGCGTTCTATTTTCATAGATTCAAATCTTATTTATACTAATTACTCAGAGTTAAGCTGCAAAAATTATTTTTATTAAATTTTCTTAATTTTGTTCTTGATATGAATCATATCAAGAACAATTAATAACTGACGAGGGGTTGTTATAGTGATTTCGAGTATAAGTCGTTTTGTCGTCGAATCGTAATAGTTTAGTAATTCATTAATCGATGGATAATTAAAAAAAATATTGATTAAAATGAGAAAATAAACTAATTGAAAGGAAGTTTAAAAAGAAAGTTTGAAGTCCTTTAAGCAATCTAGATTTAGCTCATTGCCCAAGGTTTGTGAATTGGGTTGCAAGTTTTCACAGCTGTTTTACTTCTAAGAAGCCGACACTTGTGTATGTTAACCGCATGCACATGCAGAAGATCAATGGGCTTTGTTTGCATTTTGGGTTGGTCCTGTCTTATTGATAAAGCAGGCCCGCGGGCTTGTGGTTCTGATATGCTACAATGTTCTGGGTTTCATGATGGAGTTAATCCCTAAGTTATGAACAAAAATTATTCTTTAATATAATATTCTGATAGTTGGTACTAAAAAAGGAAATCGCTTTTCAAATGTATTTATAGGCATTGAAATACATTAGTACCTATATTTAAACCTAGCAAGTTAGATGCTACCAAAGAATGATTTGATCTGATTACTAGCATGCATGTGTAAAAGTTTTGTACAATATAAAGAAAGGTGGAAAAAAATAGTGTTAATTGATACTATGTGAATTATGGAAGAATATGTAAGTAGTATTTCCCAAACTAGTGAAGTGGAATTAAGCCAGGAGAAAGCCAAACATAAATAAGAAAAGGATAAAGTTATTTTCACATTATCATTTCTTCACATGTGACTTTCTCCCAATCACACTCACTACCTTTAATTAGTTTATCTTTTCATCCACAACATCTATAATAATGATTAAGGAATGTGAGAAAATGAGAATAATATTACCCACGCATGAAATGGATTCAATGAATGATGATAACCATAACAGTGATATTTGAGTTTAATTAGATGACTTGACCAATATCCAAGAAAGATGAACTGAAAGCATGAAATGTGAGAGATGGGACTGGCAAACAAAGCTCCATGCCAGGAATTGGCCCCCCCATATGCATGCTTTGACAGGTAGCAAATGCCTAGCTATGGTACTTTTGCCATTTCCTTGAAGATGGATTTGGGTTGAAACTATGCCCACCACATTCCTTTTGGGCACATCAGAATGAAAACGAACAAAATTTATGTCTGTTGTCTCTGTACACTGCAATTGACTAGACTGAACTGAATATAAAGGTGCATCCTTCAACTTTAAACAAAATTACCCAACAGTTCTATTGATGCACGGATAAATATTGAAGGTGTTACAGTTATCAAACTACTTGAAATGGTTTTATGGTATTATCTTAATTGAAATTTAGGATGAACAATTGATACGAGATATATGACATTGTAATTTAAGCATAAATAATATAAGGCAAATTAAACTAATTGATAAATGATTTTAATTTAAGGCTTGTAATTTCGTTAAACCACTAATTAGGCAATAAGATTGCTTCAACAATTGTTTTGACAACGTAAGAACATATGATGATATATTGGTTTATGGGTTCAAATTTTCTCCGGAGAATAAGTTTTCTGCGACAACAGATTTTCACTACGTATCTTCGGTGGTACATAGTGAAAATATGAAAAAAAAAAAAAAAAAAATTCTTTCTTCACATCAGCAGACAACTTATGAGGAGAGAAAATTTTTGTGCAGCTTTAATATTTTCACTATGTACCCTAGGGGTACATAATGAAAATCGGTTACTCCAGAATTTTTGTTTTATTTTTTTTAGAATAACTACATTTCCCTTGGTTTATTATGGGTGTGTTTGAATGTGTTTTCGTTTTTAGTTTTTAAAAACTGTTTTGAGAATAAATTTTGAAAACTGATTTTAGATTAAAAAAACAATAAAACTTGTTTAAATATAGTTAGTTTTGAAGTTATAAAGAAGTTGTAGTTATTTACATAAATGTCATTAATTAATCCTCGTATTTATAAAAATGTCATTAATGAAATCCTATATTTACAGGAATGCCACTGTACAAAAAAAAACAAAAGAACAACTTTTGAAAACATCTATTAGTTGTTTTCCTTTTTCAGTTTTTAAAACAAAAAACTAGATGCTATTTTATAAACAAATATAGTGAAAACACTTTTTCCAAACAACTTTTTTTGTTTTGTTGTTTTTAAAACTTAAAAACTGTTTCGAAAAACAAAAATCAATCAGAGTCTATATTCTTTCTTCTTAAGTCTTAAGTATGTATTTAAATTTTTTTTTTTTTCTCATATCGCACTACTGTTTTGTAGATGTTATAAATCTGATTATTATTATTATTTTTGAAAATATTCCAATCGGTTCATTGATTAGTTGCGAAGCAATGAACTGATTGGAATATTTTCAAAGAAAATAAACTTAAATACATCCTTAAGACTTAAGAGACTCTCCAATAATTGTATTTGTTACTCTGCTAATCAAATATTCAAATTCTAATAATGGGAGTAAATCATTTCATATGTAAATTCAACATGATTTGATGATGTGTCAATGTTGTGTTTATCTCTCATTACAAATATTAAATAGGTGATACCCAATTAGGATGTGTGAATTGAATATCTCTAAAGAGACTAGATGTGAAATTTACACAGGAGAAAATTCATGATTCATTCATTCGTAGATCAACATTCAAAAATTAAAATAATAATTTTTACTTTTTCATTCTACGAATTTCATCATTAAAATTGTGACAGTTAATTAATGAATAAACGATTAATATTATTCAAATGATATGATCATATTAAAATAATTAAGATATGAGAGAATCCATTCCTTATTAAAACAAGACATATAAGATGATTTATTCATATTATGAACTTCAGTTACAATGCACTGTTCAAAACGTTGTCGTATGATAATATGTATTTAAAAAATTAAATTTATTTTTCTTTTAGATCACAAATTGCCTATATTTTTAAGTGTAATATAATTAACCATAATCAAGTTGATTGTGACCGCAAATTATTTTATATGGCATTTTTAAATTTTGATATATTTTTAACCTTTTCAAGTTTTATTTTTTGATTTTTATGATTATTTTTAAAAACTTGAAAGTACATTAAGTTCTTCAATGATTAGAAAATACATATTTTATTACATATATTAATCTTAAATAAAATAAATAAAACTTCATTAATACAATGCGTATTAAGTATTATTTTTACTTATTCATAAAAAAAAAAATTATCTTTCAATCTTATTTCTAAGAAAAAGAATATTATTTAAATAGCATTTATGTAACTTAATTGTTGTGTTTTATTTTTTTATATTTTAATTTTATCAATATTAATAATATTAGCATAAACTATGTCAAAAATTTTAAGAATACATATAACATAATGGGATAGGATATTGTGACACACAAATAATGTTACGCACAATGTTACGACCACATCTTAACCGTTGATTTCCGTCAATCAATGGTTATCATTTTTTAAATCAAACTCATTAATTAATTATTAATTCGCAATAAATAATAACCGTTGATTTACAGAAATCAACGGTTAAGATGTGGTCGTAACATTGTGCGTAACATTATTTATGTGTCACAATATCCTATCCCATACATAATTAGTTAGACAAAATTTTATGTAGTACGTGATGAGATAAATTTCTATTTAAAATTTAAAATTTTCAACTAATGTTGGGTTATTTTATTGGAAGAAATAATAAATTTTCTAACAAAACAACTAAAATTAGGGAAATTTAAAACTTAGGAGTTGATTAGACAAAGGGAATGATTATTACTGTTAGATTAAATTTAAATGATCAGTCTCAAAAATAATAATTTTTTATTTTACTTCTTTCTCCCTCATTTTTCTCAACTAATTACATCTCTTGTTTTTTCTCTCTTTCAATCATTAATTTAAATATAATTTAACGGTAATAAAAAAATTGCTTATGGTAAAAAAATAAAATAGGCAGACAATATAATCATCTCCTTAAGCAAATAGTCATGGATATTTAGATTTAGGTAGGCATTAAAGTTTAAAAGTGACAACGTTTAGAATATATATATATATATATATATATATATATATATATATATATATATTTGACTTATTTGACTAAAAGCAATATTATTAAAATCGAGATCATAAGTAAAATCGAAAGAGAATTAAAAAATCGTAAAATGTAAAATCGTAATGTAAAAAAATCATAAAAGCGTTTGGAATATTACTAAAATCGTTTTAATGAAAAAAATCGTAAAATTGTAAAATCATAGTGATAAATCAAGATTTTAACAACAATGACTAAAAGCATACTTTTTATCCTTTAAACTTTTTAGGTGTCGAATTTCTCTTTTAACTTTTTTATTCTCTAAAAATCTTTAAGTTATTAAATTAAAGCAAAATTTGTTAAGACAAAAAAAAAAAAAAAAAAAACTACTTCTATTAACACTATTAATGGAATATTTTTTCATAAGATCATGGCACTAACAGCTTTTTAGCTTTTAAGATGATGCAAATAGTTAGCCTTTCAAAAAATATTGAGTTAATTTAATAACTTAGGTAGTTAATTTGAAACAAAAAATTTAATTTGGAATGAATTTAAAAATAGAAGATAGAAAATGAAATTATAATTTTTGCTAAAATAATTTCATTTATAATTTTAGGATAAAGAATTTCTCTAGTCAATGGAGATAAGTTATCTCCGGTGAGCTCAAAACGATG